ATAAAACTTGACAGTTCTGTGTTGAAGATGGATGAAACACTGTCACGTTTAGGAATGGGACCATAATCAATATAGATATATATTGTGATTGAAAACTAGAGTTAGGTTTCGTTATTACAACATCCAAAGTTCATATTCATTGTTTCTAGAGGTGTGTTTTTAAATGGAAAAAGCTAAATATTTTAAGTTGTTTAAGCAGCCTGTCCTGTAATGGTGTTTTAACATGATAATTTTAATAAGATGATATGTTTTTTTTTTTTTTTAGAGATTACAAAATGTTTTATGCTTCATATATTATAGGGAGTTTTTTAAATAAACCAATAATAATAAAAACAGTCCCTCTAAGAAAAGGGGAACACCTCTACCTCAAAGCCTTTCTATCTTTCTAAGATAAGGCATTGAGTTCTTTATTTGAGTTTAACTGAGAGCTTTAGAGAAATAGTAATCCTTAAAACAAATTACTATGAAGTCTGAGGTACATGTCCATATCTACAGCTCCTGTTTCCACAGTAGTTGTCGAGATAATATTCAACAGTGAGATACTGTTGTAAAGATAATCTTACCATAAATATTTAATATCAGCACATGCTACCTAAGCAACATACACAAGTGACCTATATACTGTTATTGGACTGTTGGTGGTTTTGTACCTTATGTTTTACTCTTTTCATTTTCCATTCGCCTCCTTCTCTTGCTGCTGTGCCAAAATACACACACACTCACTGCATCTCTCACAATCTTCTTTCTCCTTTCAACACTCCCTCTACTTCTTCTTTTACCTCATCCATCTCTGTCTACTCATTTTTTTTTAGCTGTGGAGAGAAATGGTCAGAACACAACCGTGTGTGTGTTTCCCTTCAACTCTGGGAATGAAAGCGACAAGAAAATTGTCACCGCTTTTGGAACTGTTATCCTGTTCGGCTGCGTCCTTTATTCCTGGTAAAAAAACACACACACACACACACACACACACACACACACACACATACAATGTCTACATGCATGCAAACCAAGTTTCCCTGTAATATATCACTTTTTAATGTTATGTCGTTTAATTTATAGAGTTGAGAGATTATGCAAGGGCTACAATCCAAACCCATTAACAGCAGTTGTGTTAAAGGCAATGTGGAATAAAAGTAATGTATTTTATGGCAGGCTGTAGCGACAGAGACAGGGTAGTTTTGATTGGCTGTGACTCCAGAGAGGCAGTGTATGATTGGCTGTGGCTAAGCTAAGGGGGTGAGAGACAAGAACTATGGCTTTTTGCATTTGTTCACATATGTTTCCCATCAAGTGGAGGCATCCCGTCTCTTGTGGTCGTTCCCTGAAGAAGAGGGAGTTTTACTCCGCAGCAATCTGAAACTGCAAATCATTGGAAAAATACAGAGTGACAGAATTACAACGTTCCTCTCTCTATCTGTCTTCATATCTCTTTTTCTATTTCTCTTTCTCCACACTCCCTCTAGCTTGACATCTACCACCAGGCGGAGCTCTGCAGCACTCCGAGTGTGTAGGAACAGTGAGCCAGAGACTGAGGTAAATGCTCAAATATTCAGATCTCACTAGGTATGTGTGTTAATGAAACACAGACTGGTTAAACAGATCAACAAGACTTTAAAACCCCACTGACAGGCCATCCAGATTACATATCTTTATCAAATTATACAAATTAGGCCCAAGAGACAGAATGTGTGTGTCGTTAGGTGTTAACCTTTATGTTTCTCTTCATCCTGCAGAGAGCTCGCTGCTGTTTCTGTTTTGGAGATGACACAGGTGAGGAAAGTCAAATAATTCCCCATCACTATCACATCTTTTTGTTTTTCCTTCAGCCCTCTGTTCCCCTTGCCTCTCCAGCCTGTTCTGTATGTACGCATAAGTCCCCAGCCGTAGTGTTTGCACACAGAGGGGCTATGCTCATTGCTATTCCTCAGCCAGATTGAGGATGGTGAGAAAGTATTGGTCAGCAAACACAGATGATGTCACTGTTACTAGGAGGTTAGTGTGGCATAGTGAAGCAGCACCAGCAGCGTTGTGGAATTGTGGGTAGGCTGACACTGCCCCCTGCTGGAAATAAAACACTGCCAAATATATCCATTGGCAATATATCACCACTAGAACACATATTCTGTTTGGGAGTTACATATAATTAATCAGTCCAGAATGACATAAAACTTTCTCTCATGTTTTCTTGTGGCTCACCTCAACTGAAATCAATGTTGGAGAGTCTTTATCATATTAAAAGTGTAACTCGTTTCATTGTTTCATGTCTATTTTTCAGATGACTATGATGATGAGAAGACTGGTTCGGGCCAGAATGTGATGTATGATGAAAGAGAGGGAACCATCTACAGCTACACCTACTTCCATTTCGTCTTCTTCCTGGGATCCCTCTACGTCATGATGACTGTCACCAACTGGTTCCAGTAAGTAATACTCACTGACACACTCTCTGATTGTGGTACAATTCTGGGGCATATATGGATATGCTTATGTACACACATCCAAGCAATAGTTTGTACACTGTAAGGAATGGAAATCTCCTTGCTACATCTCTGGAGCTGTTTTCACAAAACATGCTAGGACTAAAAGGACTAGGACATGCTAGGACTCTTAACTGGCCAAGTTAGTTATCATGCAAATAAGGGGCATGTCAGTACTAACTTTAAAACTGCTAAGTTTTAATAGATGGGCCACATCAAAGTGGGGCATGTTGATATCAATATGCAGATGGTGTTTGATGCCAGATGCAATGTACTCGAGGATGAGTCAATATGGGTCCCTCAGGAGTTGGTGGATAAAACTGATGTAGAAGGACTGTGAATATTAGACCCATATTTACGATGTGGCCTGAAATACAACTCTCAATGAATTCTAATGTTGCTTCGTAAAAGGGCATCAGTTTGCAAACAAGTTTGTTGTATCGCTTTAAAAAGGTGATGTGACATTGTAGTGTTTACAGCTTCTTTCTACTGCCCCCAAGTGACAAAATCTTGTTGTCAAGATTGTCAATCCTTCTTAGTGTCTTTGCTCACTTCTCTCTGTGCTTCCTTTTGCAGTTATGATAACCATAAGATTGAGAAACTGTTAGACGGGAGCTGGTCAGTCTTCTGGATCAAGATGGCGTCCTGCTGGGTCTGTCTCATCCTCTACATGTGGACCCTCGTCGCTCCCATGATCTGCCCGAAGCGCTTTGAGGCCTAGGCCACACATCACCACTCTAGAGTCAGACAACTCTGATTCTTGGGATGTGGCCAGGCAGAAGCTCTGACGCTGAGCCAAGGGACCACCACAACCCCCCTTTACCTTGAAACACAACCCTACACTACCCTCATTGTTCGAAATGGAGGATTATCTGTTGCCTTTTGTTTTATATGCTAGTTTTACTCTTACTTTGTTTTACAATGTTAAGCTGTTTAATACCTTGATGGTAATTTTGTTATCTTTTACTACCACTTACTCCTGGAGTTTTGTATTGCTTACAGGTTTGTAATTACATAAAGAATCATGGGACTTGAGGTAAATTGTGACACATCCAGCCGCTATAGATTCCTTGATAATTTCCGATTTTTGTCAGCATTTCCTGTGTCCGTTTTTCTTGGATTCTCGCTTTTTCTCTTAGCCAGCCATTTCAGTTCTGTAAAGTTGAACCATAAAGTTGTAGCAAAGTTTAGGGGCAAATTTGTTTCAGGTTAGACGTGTTGCAAGATAAATTGTATTTATTTAAGTATGTCTTAAGTAATCACAAATCATTTTGTGAAGGAATGTGGTGTACATCGAATTAGATTTGTCCCCAACTTTGTGAAAAAACTCATCTCTCAGGCTCAAATGTAAGCTGTATATGTTTATGCTTTGTTATGTTGCGCCCTTTTGTAGAATTTTTCTATGCAACAGAACAAGCTTTTTCAATATTATAGACAGCCAGTGTTGTGAAGTTTCCAGTTAAATCACAAGGTTAATGTTTCATATTTTATTAATGTCAGTGCTCCCTTTGAGCGAGATCTTTTCTTAGGAAAATCCATGTCATTTGTACAACATTTCCAGTCATCGTTGTTGTTGTACAGGGCAGTGCTCTTCAGATCAACCTGCCTTACGTAACAGTGATGTTAGTGGAGTGCCGCCTCTCTGGAAGAGCTGCAGTGACATAGATGAGGAACGTTTGCCAAAGGTAGATGTCAGAAAACTACTACAAACTATCATTGTTTGGTCAGTTAAAGAGAAAAATATAATTGAGAACATTATGTATTTGCATGCACAGACACCTAAATCAGCTGTTTTTGTACAGTTATAAAGGCTTTTGCCTGTCTTTGTTACATGTGTCAGCTCAAAAGGTCAGAATAAGGTAGCATGAGTGCTATTATTAGTGAGTTATTCAACACTGGATGTTGAGTTTACTGCCGAATTAGAATTCACACAAAAACCCTCACGTCTTTGTTTCCCAAGTAACTGATTTTTTTTTTTTTTTTTTTTTAAACAGAAATACAATATATTGCATATTGTCAGCTGCAAGTCATTATTTCTCATTCATCAATAAATCAGTTGACCTTTGTGTGATTGCTAACGTGTTTTATAATAATTTATGTACATTTTGGCTAAAGTTCTGTGATCTGTGGATAGTTTCCCTTGAATTATGCTTTATATACCTGCACATTTTGTCATGTGATGTGGAACCATTTCAGCATTTTAACTATTGGTATGAATGTAGAAATTAAATGGTGCTCTGCAGCTTTGATACCAAGCTTCAAAAGAAGCCTAAATCTGATAGCAGGATCCACTGTGAAAGCTGTGTACTACCGTACCATACAGGAACATACAGGAACATTTTTGACCAAGCAGTATGTTCGAAATACAGATATGTGGGTGCCATGCATTCATATTGTTCAAAGTCTTTCAATAAAACAACCATTGAACGCCATGTGGTGTCTTTATTTGCAGATTGGTTTTCCCTCATGTAGATAAATAACATACAGTGATCTCATGTAGAAAAATGAAATAGAACCTGCTTTGATTTTGTGGAATGCTCAGGATTTTATTGTACTTGTACAATATATTCAAAAACAGTATTGCATCTTAAAAAGCACTCATATAGTACTGATGAAATCGCAGATGATGCTACTTCGACATACACAGAGCCTGCTGATGATTTACACAAGATTGTACTGGCTTCAGTTAAACTGAGTTAAAGTATATAATGCCCAATTTTATGCTTTACTAAGACCCTCTTGCTTGAATGATAAAATTCAACCACCCAAGTTTTTCACCAAAACTGTCCACCGTGGTCCCTCACACATTGATCTTTCTTTCTCTAACTCATGTCCTCTACCTCTTCATTCTCAGCAGTGCAGCTCTGCCCCTTTCATTCCCATATCCAATGTTTCTTTGATGTATCACTCTCCTCTGGCCTCACTGTGTGTTCTGGGCATTGAGATCCTGGTAGTCAGCAGGAATAGTGTCTATGGAGAGGAGGAACAAAAAAGGAACTCATAAGCATACTTGCACTTATGTATGTAGCTGACTGGACTACCTTTAACACTCACCGTTGCAACGGTACTTCAGATTGGACCAGATTATATTTTCCTGAGAGAAGCAGAACACGCCCAGTCTCCCGCCTCTCATGCTGGTGTCAATTATCACCTCTGTGTCTGCCACCAGGTCCGAACCCTCAAAGAAGCGGGCCCTGGTTCGTACGCACAAAGTCAAACTAGTTAGTAAGTTCACACTGTGTATGTGTGTAGTGTGTTTGTCTCTGAGTGTTGGTGCGAGTCCATTTGTACCTGATGTATCCAACCTGTGGTCTGTGCTGGAGGAACCAGCGGTAGGAGACCTTGTCCTTCCAGCCAACGTTCCTGGGGTCCTTCCACAGAAGACGAACCTGCTCGGCGGTGTCTCCTGTGTGCCAGAGGGAGTTCCTCAGATACTCACCAGGACCCGTCTTAGACTTCACAGCCTAGTGATAAAGAGCCAGAGAGCATGAGAAAGAAAAAAACTGGTAGTGACAACAAATGATCAAAGTGTCCTTGGGAAAACATCAAACCTAACCCAATTGCTCCTGTTGGCCGTTGGTCAGGCAAGCACCTTGAATGGCATGGTGAATTGGTGTATAAGCAACAAATTGTAAAGCACTTTGGATAAAAGCACTATACAAATGCAGTAATTTACCTTGAGCTGTATTCCTGGCTCAGCAACAGCTCTGAAGGGCGCAGCCTGCCAGTATGTTTGTTCCGTCTGTTTCCACATCACCACGTAGAAGGAGGAGGAGTCCTGGTAGCCGAAGATGAAGCCAGCGTAGTCATCATCTGTCATCGTGTTCACATGGAAGGTTCCTTCAAAGTCAACCCCACTGAACGCTGTGTAACCTACAGATGTGGACAATGGAGAAGAAATACACAACATATACACATATACACCAACATATTAGGTGAAGGCTAACAGAGAAAACATTTAGGAAAATGGGAAGTATTTTATTGTTAAAACAAATGGCAATTGGTCTGTATGAAAGTATTCTGTGCTTACCTACAGCAAGGCCAGGGTCAGAGTTCATGGTCTGAACTATTTCCATGCCCTGTCAGGAAAAAAGAAAGTAGCTTTACTTTATTCTAACAAAATAATTGTTGTTGTTTTGTCCTGTTTTACTAAAATACCGATTTTCTATAATATATGAATAGAAACCCCTAAAAACATGTTTGAGCTTCATACAAACACTGATTGTAACAGAGGCTATCTAGGAAAAGGAGGCTGAACTTTAGCTATCATTAACCTGATTGAGGACCACCCAGTTGGGGTCAATCTGAGAGTCACCCTCTGGGTCCAGCACCACGGTCTGATAGGCTCTGAAGTCTGTCAGGGTGATCTCAGCGTTCTCTGGGCAGTGGTCGATTATGTCAACCACATTGTCTTTGTCAAAGTCCCCTTCGCATGCGTCTCCAACTCCGTTCTCTGAAATACAAGGGCACCCCTTAGAAATCGAACAGCAGAAACACATACTGTATGTACAATTCTGATTTATTGCTCAGATCAGTTTTTTTTGTTTTGTTTGGCTGTTCACATTTTTATAGGTGGCTCATATCAGATTCCAGCATGAACAGCTCACGATCCTGAAGTGAAATGCAATGTGAAAGTCACATGTATTCTGATATGACTGTTCACACTGAGGTCACTGCAATAAATTCTGACCTGTATTGAAAATATCAGATTGTGGTTTGTGGTGTTCACACTGTTACTGATTAACATAGCCAAAGATGAAGAGATACTAACTGTCTGTGTCCTTTTGGTCTGGGTTAACAACTAGCCTGCAGTTGTCATAATCATCCAGTATGCCGTCATTATCGTCGTCATCGTCACATTCATCCCCCTATCATGTAAAACAGCACATTTGGATTAGTATAAACACAGAGCCGTCTATACCATCTATATGTCACCATACATGAGATGAATTGATGAAATATTATGCATTTGAAAACGTTTTAAAACCATTCCATCCTTGTCAGTGTCCAGCTGAGCGGAGTTGATGACTGTGGGACAGTTGTCCTTTGTGTTCTGGTGGCCATCACCATCACTGACAAAGAGGAGGTAGGACGGGATAAAACTAAATGTCAAAACTTTATACATCTTTATATACATTCAGTCTTGACAGTGAGCTCTACCTGTCTATGTTGTCGTCACAGGTATCTCCTACAAGATCATGATCTGAGTCAGACTGCAAGTAGACAAAACAGGTTATGTTGTTCAGAGTTGTGAAGCAGCAGATTAATCTTTATTCAGGTTGTTGTTTGGTTTGTTACCTGGTTCGGGTTGACCATATCAGGACAGCTGTCACAGGCATCTCCCACCCCATCGTTGTCTCTGTCTTTTTGGTCTGGGTTAGGGACTCGCTGACAGTTGTCAAGAATATTCTTCAAGTCTGAGAACATAAACACCTCAGCACATTAATTTCTGCGTCATGTGTAAGAAGCGTTGACAGGAAAATAACAAAGCATGACAGAACACAGCCCACATACACAGTCTGTCTAATGCATCACCAGATGGCAGTGTTTGTTTAAGATGGAGGTGAAATAGTTTCCATTGGCCTTCAACGCCTGGCGGAGGCTTACTGTGGAAAATGCTTTTAGAGAGGAGACAGACATGACCAAGCGCTTAGCAATCCAGCCTTGGAGTTAAAGACATAACCAAATGATCAAGAGGTTGGAACTCTGCCAAAATGAATGAACAGGGGTTCCTAAACAGACTCTAAACATGCAACATGTGTAAGCATATAAAGGTAAACAAGAGGGCACATACAAAGGCAAGAAGTTAAAACTGTGTTTCCAGTGGAACAAATGAGAGGTTTTCTAAAAGGGTAATCAAGTGAAGTATGTGAGAAAAGTTTGTGAGACAACACTTATGATTCCAGTTGGAACATTTTAACATTTAACACGGTTTTCTTCGGGGGTTTTAAAGGTCTTTCATTTTTTTAATGACGCTTATGCTGTTTCCATGAAAGCCAATGATCTAACTGGTAGAGGATGTCAATTGGTAACAGAAACAAAAGAGTCCTGGAGGATGTTTTGAACAGATAATGTCTTGCCAGTTCAGTGAAAGACAAACAGAAATGTGCACACTTTCCACCAAACAGGATTGTAAAGGTTGTATTCTTGTCTAGACAGTGTGTGCTTTGGATGACCGTCGCAGACATGGTAGTCTTTTAATGTGATTATCAGCCATTAGGTTTCACAATGTGCTCCTAACTTTATTACCTCTAATTGATGCTATAAAAGCAGTAATGATCAAGTTACTATACCTCCCACAGTAATGACCATCCAACCTTTTAGTCACTGCGGCCATTTACAAAAAATACTCTAATTACACCCAGTGATGCACAGCAAAACTACGTGATTATAATAATTATTTGATTGTTATATCATAGAAAAAACACTTACTATCCCCATCCATATCATCATCACACTCGTCTCCCAGCCCATCCTGATCGGTATCTCTCTGTGAGGGGTTTTCGACTGTTCTGCAGTTGTCACAGGCATCGCCATGGAGATCCTTATCGCTGTTCCTTTGGTCCACATTAGGAATGAGCCAGCAGTTGTCCTGGGGCAGACAAAGTGCATAGGCTAAGTGAGATAGTTAAATTCCTATCCAAAAAAAGTTACAGCCCTTCAAAATCTGAGAAATGATTGTATACTGGTCCTGTGGAGCTAAATTACCTACATCTATATTAATAATGCCATCACTGTCTGCATCATCGTCACAGGAGTCACCCAGCCCGTCCCTGTCTGCATCCTCTTGGCCAGAGTTTGGCACAAACACACAGTTATCCTGGAAACAACGCAGCAAAACCAGACAGTATTAGTTTTTAATACTAGCATGAATTAAATGCCAGAGAGGGTAATGGGGATAGACATGAGTACCTGCTTACAGTTGTTGTCTCTGCACAGGAGCTTGTTGTCAGGATATGCGTCAATATCTGTGTCCTTTCCACACACATAGCCATTACCTGCCCAACCAACACCACACTAACACACACACAAGAAGGAAGCGAATGTAATGTACGACAGCACAACACAGTAATTCACATTCATGATCCAGTGCATAGTATTTTCTAAATTCTTACCGCACAGCTAATGCTGCCATCTCTACCCACGATACACTCAGCATTGAGGTCACAGGGGTTGGGTTGACCATTGGGGCAAAGCCTGGAACCATGGCAGCCTCTCACCTGGTCACCTGTAAAACCAGTTTTACACTCTCCACAGCGGAAGGATCCCTGATGGGGACAGTACAGAGTCAAAAACCAGGTCCTTCTGCCAGTAGAGAGAGTGATAATAACCATACACCAGTCCCAGAGGTCTTACTATAGTGTTGTAGCAGTTTGAGTTGGCAGTGCAACCTCCATTCTCCGGCGGGCCCACACACTCATCTATATCCTCACACACCTGGGAAGAACATATGATATAACGTCAGTATATATAGAAAGAGATTCATATTCTGTCAACAGGCGCAGATAAATCAAACAGAAGGAATGTTTCATACACAGTGTATTTTTGTTGTACCTGTTTGTGTGACTTAGCATAGTTCACTCCCACTCCAGTTAGCTCTGGTCCAGTGTATCCCATTGGGCATTGCCCACAGCGAAAACCAGGAGCAGTGTTAATACACCGGACACCAGGGAAACATGGGTTAAACTGGCACTAAAACACAAAATTAAGATGGTCAAATGTTAATTAATGTTACGTTCACCTACTCATTGCAGAGACTTGCACGCTAAGAAACATATAACCCATACCTCATCTACATCGTCACACCGTACTCCATCCCCTGTATATCCATCTGGACAGGGGGCACACTGGAAACCTGACTCCGTACGGATGCACATGTTCCGTCTGAAACAGGTCCCATGTGGGCACTGAGTCAGAGGCTGAGGCTGCATGAGAACCTGGCCAGGACTTGGAGCTGGACCTGGGGTGGTTGGACTGCCCCTGAGACCTGTCGGCACACAGAGACAGATATGAAAGCACCTTGTTTAAATGTCACTTTATTTATTGTATTTGTTTTATTTTATTTGTAAAATATTAAACATAAATGTTAGTGAATGAATACTGCATAAATTAGATGTCTGATTAGAGTTTTTGTACAGCTTACCACAGACAAGACACTCTGCAATGGTATTCCTCAGAAATGCTGTCTCTTTAATCTTAACCAGACAGAAACAAAGAGTGTAGAATTGTTGGTTAGGATAAACTGTGTTGTTTGGGTTATTATTATTAATTTAAAGCTTATATCAATAGAGGGATTAGAATTTAATCTATTTAATTAACTATTGAAGATTTCTTAGTTGTTAGTACCCTTGAATGAGACTAAGAAGTTTTGAAAAGTTAAATGTGTGTCTGCTATGGTAAGCTCCAGTGATCTGTTTCTTTACACAAACGATTTTCAGTGTGTCTGACAAGTCTGAGATGCTGAGCTATATAACAAGCATTTTGTTGCCTCAGGCTCCCTGTTTGATGCTTTATCTTCTAACAAATCCTCAGCTTTAAATGATCATCTGAAATCATCCACTTCTCACTGCTGCTCGCTTTTACTGCTCGCTGTCAGTTGCTGAGGTTACATAAAGTCTTGAAACAAGAGAGCTCCAGAAAATCAGCAGGTCCTCACAGTCTGGATTCTCACTTTTCACAACAAATTGCTGATTTTACTGCAAAACCGATCTTACCACAAAGAAAAACGAAATTCCAAACGGTTGTAAATCAGCCCACATTCTTCCACTTTTAAAAGTAGGTAACTCTTCCAAACGGCCTCTCTACACTTTCTGCCACCCAGTGTTCTCCAAAAAGCTTTTCTTTCATTTTATTCATTTATTTTCATCTCAACAACAAACTGATTTTAAAAAGCAACCAAAGGGGCACAAAACATCATCATCAAATTATTGGACTGCTTAGTATAGCTTCTAGTAGAAATACTTTGGTTCTCTTTCATAGATTTTCCAAATCATTTTACCTGCTTGTTGAGCAGCTCCTTCATCTCAGATAACATGGTCTTCAGCTCTGTTATGGTGGCCTGGTCATGTATGGTCCTGCCTCCCTGGATACCTGAGGGGAATTCACAAATCAGAATCAGAAAATCAGATACAAAACACATCTACCATGTTTAAGTTAAAGTGACTGCATGGGTTTGTCATTGTGGAGTCAGACAGTCAGTTGCAATCTGTTCTCACCCAGCAGCTGCAGAGATTCACCATGATCCCTGCTACAGTCCTGCAGAGTGGCCACATTGTCTATGGTGTCGTCTATCACCAGCTTCAAGTCTGTCAGTTCATCCTTATAAAGGAATAGAGGACAGAGACATTCTTAATTACTAGAATGAAATGTGAGGTACTGCACTGCTCAAACAGTATTCATATGTACTATTTATGTCTCTATGCAGTCAAACATATAATTATTCTCAAATGTAAACCTCTTGCTCACCTGTCCACTCGATGGCAGGGTCCTAAGTGCCACTTTGTTGGGACCAGGTGGGAGTGACCCAAATGCAGCTGGTAGATCATCTACAGTGTGTACCAGTCTACAGTCTATATAGATGTTGAGGCGATGTGGACCACGCTGTAGACCGCTGGCATGTAGCATCACATGGTGATCTTGGCCATCTGCCAGGGAGCCGTGGTTGAAACTGGTTGTGGCAAATCTGCCATCAGTCTTCTGGTAACGAATGGTGACTAGAGATGGAGAGAAGCAGGAATGAGCTGTTATTGTAGTCTGTTTAAATAGTTCTCAAAGACACTGTTATATGTGTGTATAATAATTCACCCTTGCTCAGTTTGGCCAGCAAGCTGAGCTCCAGGTACTTGGTGTTGTCTTTGGGGTTGATGACACTGAAGAGAGAGGTGGGGCCCTTGTTGTGCAGCCTGAAGGAAGAGAGGAGGAAAGCCTCATCTCGCCCTTTGTTCTTCAGGCTTCCTTGGAGCAAGTCTGGCAGGCAGTCTGGAGAATCCAGCAGGTCGAAGACTAACACAGAAAATAATTGTTAAAAAGCGTAATTTTACTGCTGTAGATCCATTGTAACTGTGGCAAAAAAAAAGTATAGATTTACACAAATAGTAAGCAAAACATGCAGTATAGTGGTCAGTCGATAGTGTGCAAGGAGCTTAGGAAATATTCAGCACACCAACTTAAAGCAATCCAACTGGTTTTTGTCAAGATTAGAGGAGAGTTTAGTGTGGATTGCTACTGCTGAGTCAGTGCACTATGGCACTTTATTATGTGTGACAATGCATCTGTGTGCATGTTCATGTTTGTATCCTGCTGGGTTTTATAGAGTGATGGACTGGAGTTGCAGAAAGGGAGCAGCGGTAGACTCTTTCCACTGGAACAAACCCGTTACCTCACACCCACATGCACGGACACATTCACACATATACACAAAGACACACAACTCATTAGCTGAATTCAAGAATAATACGAAGTGACGGGAAATTGTATGGAAACATTTGCGTGATTCCAAGCAAATCAAACTTTTGCACATGCACTTTCTCAGATGGCAGTTTGTGTTGTTTTACCATCTAAGACTGACCTTATTTAGGCCAGACTGTTACTAGACCCCAGACGAATTCTGCAAACTGCAAAAAAGCCAGCTTCATGCCTACTTAATCAACACAATTACCCTGTTATTTGCAGCTTGCTGTAAGTTAGAAGTTGTCAGACCAGGCAACAGATTGTTAGGAATACAGAAATGGAAGAGACAGTTAGTGAAACAGACTTATTTGATAGTGATGTTAAGAGGTTTTTAACATGTGCTGATCTACAAACACATGTGTAATGTTTTCCAGAAGGGCATGAACGGTGAGAAGAACTTACCAATGCCTTGAGCTGTGACAGTGAGCACCAGCTGTTGCAGCACCAGAAACAGAGCCGCTGCTCCTGCCCACACACCCATCATCAGTGCTTCAGTAAGCTGTGCTCCTTGTGAATCAATAAGAGTATCAAAGATTAATCACCTATTTTAACACAGTGGTCCAACAGAATGATGGATCCAGATGTTCAAGCTAAATCCCAGCAGAGGTGAGATGGCTTTGTTGCCACGGCCACAGCTTTTAAAGCAAAGGGGAGTGTCCTTACTCTACTATTGCGAAAGTGGCACAGTGAAGGGACTATTTTAAGTTTGTGGGAGTGTCCCCTTGCTACTATAGTTCAATAATTTGTTATGTTGTATATTTTTAGTGGTACTACAACATGCTATGAACAGTGTAAACAAAGAAATAACAATAATAATAAAAAGGTATTATATTAATTCTAAAAAGGATGGGCATAGCGCTGCAATACTTAAGATAAAGATAAATCTGTTATTCCCCGGGTTTTTGTGTCTTTGGTCTTTTGGGGATTTATGATATAATACCATAAAAATACTTGTATATAGTGAGCCAACTCTATAAAATTCCTGAAATGGATTGTGGTCTTAAGGGAGGAAAACTTGATTCCAGCTGGCCATCGTTTTTCACGAACATCATGAACCTGTGTCATTTATGTGGATTTGAGCTCCTAGCTCATCTCCAGTAAGCCAGTTGAATTGTATAAATGTACGCCAGATGTTTTTAATTTTAATTTAATTTAATTCACCTTTTTCTACATGCCTCTGCAAATCTTTTCTTAATTCCATCTGTTGTGGAATGTGGGAAAAAAGGACAAAGAGGGCCATACTTGGGACCCTGGAAACATTTCATGATAGATGTCTGGTAGTCGTCTCAAAGCTTAAAAACCTCAAGTACATTTCAACATCTCAGCTGCTGGTCCGAGCCAAAGAGAGACATTTACCATCCCTCGGTGCATTATCACCGTACATCCGTCTGTGTCTGGCTGTCTGGTCTCTGACCAAACACCTGGCAGCCTTTAACAGTGATTATCAGCCCTGGGACAGATATCATGCTATTGTTGCTGTAAAAAAGTCAAATGGAAATTACTATTTGACATGGAAATCAAAGTATGAAATCGTCACTTACTCTATTCTTGCTATGTGAGTCTCTATATACACAGAGCTGTAGTGTATCACTATTCATTTCAAGACAGTTCTTAGTATTTCCTTCTTGTTTAAGAATGTATGAAACCAGCCAACAAAGACAAAAAAACAACTGAGTCATATGACTATTCAATCATAGTATTTCTAGTCTCATGTAGAACATGAAAGAATAATAGAGTTCAAGTCTTGCAATGAAAATATGATTTACCAGGAAAGGTTTAACAGTAGGTACATATATTTCTAGTAAGGAAGGAGGTAATGAGTAGATGTTCAGTTTTTTTTCTGAATGTTTTAAGGATTTCTTATCGACGTTGTTATACGCTCTCGCCCGTGTTGTTATATGTTATTAAATTCTCTCTCGTTATGTGTGCTATTTATGTTGCCCTCTCTCATAAAGGTGCATCATGCTGAGTTGCTGCTGGGACGGCTTAATTCCGTCATGATTACCTCACCATTACTTACCAATTTTATGAACACTTAAAGTGAAGCAAAGCCTCATCGAAACAAACTGACACAACAGCTAATGAGGTTTTACAGGGAACAAAACTATTATAGTTGAATGACATAAGCCAGAAAGTGAATTACTCCTATTTAAAACACCTTTAACGTCAAATTATTGCTCTTTAATGTCAACACAAATGTGCATCTAGCAGGCCATCTTTAATGTGTTCACCTCTGCAGCCTCTCATATCACAGGTACCGTGTGACGTCACCAGCTCCTTCCATGAATGAAAACATGGCGGCTGCCATGGAGCTGAGATGCTGGGGAGGAGACTGGGGTTTGCCTTCAGTCCACACCGAGTCTCTGATAGTTCTGGTAACGTTATCGTCCGCTCGTAAAATAAAATACATGAAATACGGTCATTTATATCCAGACCTTATTTTTAAGACTAAAGGCGTCTTCTCTGTGCATCTCTGCTTAGCTTCCGTGCTAACCCACCTACACAGCTGTTTAGCTGCTCATGCTCAAGCTCGATGGTTTAAAATCATATTTCCAGTTTAATTTTAGGTTTGGTGAGCTGAGACACCAACAGCTGTGACCTGCACGGTGTGTCCTTCGTGTACGACTGGTTGTCAGAAGTCACGGCTCGTATAAATGTGGTGCTTCAAGGTCAGCTTGTTGAGGCTCCGATTTTAATTGATGTGTGTGTATTGCTCCCACTCTCGCTCGGTAGCTGTCGACTGTAGCAGAGGTAGTAAGTTAGTAACATTGTCAGAAAATGAACTCTGAGTAGCGGTTTGCTGGCTGTTTATAATGTTGTCTCTCAGTCAGTCCATGCAGTTACAACTCTTACCACAAGGTGACACTTTGACTAGTCTTCTGTCCAAGATGACATGTTTGCTTTTAGTTAGTGCTGCTTATGCGTTTTGTTTTGTTTTGTTTTGTGTGGGTTTATTTACAGCACTCTGATATAGTTATAATGTCAGACTCTGTCAGGGATGGCACTGGACTTTTTTCCATTGTTGTCTCTGGTGTTTTCACCGACAGGAAACAGGCATAAAGTTTGTGACACTGATACATTTGAGGTATTATGAACAATGAAACTAGAAAATGAAATCATATAGATGATTCAAAAGAATCAGGATTGTAATGATAAATGATTGTAGCTTCTGCAGGGTGAAGTTTTGCTGCTTTTTCTGTTTTATAACATTGTAAACTGAACATCTTTGGTTGTCAAAAGACATTTGAAGACAAAATAACAAATTATTTACTGTTTGAACTGAATTCTTTAATATAAAAATACTTGTTAGTTGCCACCCAACCCAATTTAGTTACTGTATTATCTATTTGTCTTCATTTTGCTGCATTTTTTTTTAATTTACTGGCTTGTGGTTTTGCTTGTTTTTCCTCTTTCTGTAAATGAAGCTGTTTATGGTCAGCAGTGTAATCAGAGAGGTCCCTAGTGCCAAATCTGTATTTAGAGTCAGTGCCAAATTCCTTCTGAGGGTACTTTGATTGCAACATACGTTCAGCTTCATTACAAGATTGATATCATACTAAACTTAGCCTTGATTGAAGTATTACAGTCCTGCATTTGGGCTGTATTCAGCTCAAGAAGTATTATTGTATGCTGGATTGCTGTTGTATCTATGACAGACTCTTAAATAATAAATGCATTGTCTCATTTTACCATCTTTTCTAAATTCAAGTGTGGATTTTCTTTCAGGCATACGCCAAGTTTTCTGGGGCAAAAGTCACAGTGTCCCCTATAGACTGGACATGGAAAACTCTAACAGGTGGGCTGCAGCTTCCTATTAACCATAATTTTGTAACATTATGATCCACACACCCCATGGTGATTGCTTTATATACATATGGTTGTTGCTGAGGAGTCTATGGTTGATATTGTAATATTTGTTAAATATATATATACATAGTACATATAATTCTATAAGATTGGAGAATATAAACAGTATGTATAATCCATTTGGAGCTTCCTTCATGCTGTAACACTAATAGTATAAATACTGAAAATCACATGACGAGTTCTATTTCTAATACTAATTATACTAATATGAATTGCCACAGTCATTAACATTTTGTGAATGTGCCAGAAAAGGTTGACAAACACAGATTTAAAGCATGGGTTTTTATGTTTTTATGCATCTGACTGGGTTCCAAAATGGGGTGATTTATTTAAAATTTTAGCTACAAGATACATTTTACATTAAAAGATCTTAATAACATGTTAATGCAGATGCAACACCACTCTTAAATAACTTTGTCTCGAATTGTGATATCTTCTTCCTATCGTGCAACCTGCAGCAACAGTCCCAGAGTTGCTTTGTGGAGACTCTGCAGTTCAAGAAGCTACACAGATTCTCAACTTCCTGCGAAAACAGGTAAGAGTGGATACCAAGGCTGCTCACTGTCCATCACCTGGTCAATATATCCCCAAAACCCATTCAGCTGAATCAGTAGATCTGCTGTAATATTAGTGATTTTTCTTTTTTTCAGAGGTTTAATGCAGACTATGAGCTGACAGCCAGACAAGGAGCAGACACCATGGCATACATCGCTCTGCTTGAAGAGAAACTACGACCAGCTCTGGTAACACCATCTCTCTTCCGCTTACTCCCTGACGAGAACTAATCTGTGAGTACTGTTAATATTTAGAGTGATGCTTTGTGTCCCACAGTTGCACACTTTCTGGGTAGATGCAGAAAACTACGCCAATCTGACACGGCCATGGTTTGCTTCACGCTCGCCGTTCCCTCTCAACTTTCTCGTCCCTAGTCGCCTTGCCAACATCGCCCTCTCCCGCATCCTTCTAACCAAAGGAGAGGCACCCCTACACAGAATCACTGAGGTGGAGGGAAAGGTAAATATCGATCTGTCTGACTCACATGTCGGGTCAGCTCTGTCAGCATTTCAGCACTGTGTACTGTGTGACTGCAAAGTTCTCTTTTGCACAACTGTGAATCTTTCTCACTGCCTCAGATCTACAGTGATGCTAAAGAGTGCCTGAATCTCCTCTCCTACAGACTGGGAACAGCAGACTATTTCTTTGGCAACTCGTGAGTTCTTTAATGTTTGCTGACTTACATGTTCATTTGAAGGACCGTATATGTATATCATATGTAGGTGCAAAGCTATTGGAAAACAGAGTAGATGAAAATGTATGAAAAATGGATGGAAATATTGTCTATTTAAGTCTGTGTGCAGGTAGTTCAGTCATTTCCTTATAGCTTGCTGATAAATAGCATGATAACTAGGAACTATTACAATAAGAAATGGGCAAATTGTTTATATATATAGTTAGGATTTCTTTTTCACATTAGACGTGATGAAATGGGTCTTCCAAAGTGTATTTCAGAAATTATGCTGGGAGAAATCCAACTTATAAAATGCTTTGCAGTGTTAATTTAGACAAAATTTGTACTGTGATTTATAAAGCACAGTATAGCAATATAAGTAATACTACTGTAGATATCTCACAGGCCTCTCATAGCTCCTCTCTGTGTGTGCCTAAACATATTTTTGTGTACATATGTTTGTGTTTGTAGGCCAACCAGTCTGGATGCCTTTGTGTTTGGCTTTGTGGCTCCACTTTACAAAGCCAGTCTCCCCAGCAGCCCTCTGCAGAGCCACCTCAAACAGCTGGATAACGTCACACGCTTCTGTGACAATGTCCTCGCAGTCTACTTCAGCTCAGACCACCCTTGTAAGATCGCTGCACACACCTGAAATGCTCACAAAATCTACACACAAAGATTCGGTGGAGTTTTACATTCACAATCAAACAAAACAACTAATGTCTTCAGCATTTTCCTTCTTCTCACATCTTTTTTCATTGCATGCTTGCTCTTTGTATCTGCTTCATTTTTGGGTGCTCATTGACCTAACACTGTTCCACTAACTCTCTGCTATTTCCTTCTTCTCCTTCTTCTCTGGTGTCACCGTACGTCATCTCTCTCCAGGTCCTACCCCACCTGTTCAGGAAACAATGGATGCCAATCTCCAGAAACTAACTCAGCTTGTAAATAAAGAGTCCAACTTGATAGAGAAGGTGGTTCTGCTTTCCTTTTATCTTCTTTGCATGGGTTCATGGTTGCATGTGGCAGGTACAGTCTCAGCTGTACTCAAAGTATACATACTGTCTCTTTCTGAATCATTGTCATATTATTTTCTGCTTGTGCATGTATGCTCTAACTAAACTGGACATCCTATACTGTAGATGGATGACAACCTCCGCAGCAGCCCACAGCACAAACCCCACAGACCAGAACCCAAACCCAGTCTGGCCAGTGACAAGAGCTCTACCCCTGCCTAACCCATGACCTGTCAACCCTGATCCAGCCTAATGAATGGAGGAGGAACAACCTTTAGATGAAAGGTGCAGTTCTGAATCTGACTCAACCTCATCCTGAAATCAAAAAAACTGTCATCCTGCTGAACTATAACTTGAATGGCAAATAACTTATGGAAGTATGACCATGTAATTATAAAAGAGACTATTTTACAACAAGATAATGATGATAGATTTCAAATATGCTAGTCTGAAAGAGAAGGGAAAGTGCATGTGTGAGGTTTTAAAAGGTTGAGCGCATGTATGTGGTTAAGGATGGAATGCTATGAAGTGGTTTTCGATGAAAGACACAGAAAGTTCAAAGGGAAACCAAAATGAAATGTAAAGTCCAGCAAGGAAAAGAAGTGGCACTGATTGACTTCAGAGTGGTCAGTTTTTCTTTTAACCTCTTATTTCCCCCTTTTGTCTTCAGTAAGAAATATCTATTTTATGTTTTTCCATTCTTCATCAAACTACAGTTGATGCACCGTAGGAAATGCCCTCATCTGCCTCTGAGGACATCAAATTTACTGACACATTAGTCACTGTGGTAAAACCAGCTAGAGCACCTTATGGCAAGGTTTATTTAATTATCTTATGTTACCCACTACTACTACATTTTAGGAATTTGTGCTTATCGCGGAGGATCTGAGATCCTGTAGCACCCTTCTGAGCACACGTCCTTCCTCATAACCACTGTAAAAATGTTCTGTAAATTCTATTAACATTTTAATTAGCGTAATGTTCAGTATGTATGCATTCAGGACTACAGGAATAACCAGTCACTTATTTTGCTTTGCTCCCACCTACTCTGCTTTGTATAGCTTGTATGGCTGTAAATAGTTTCATGATTACAATTAATGCAATTTATTGTGGTTTCCTCTAATAGGGCTGATCAGCTTGTTCACGATCTTTGTTAAATACAGTGAGGTAATGGAAAGGCCTTACACACTGTATTAACGTATTCATGCAAAATATGTGGGACTAATGTGTGTCTGTGTGTGTGAGTTTTCAGAAACCAGTGTGTCTTTCATTATTGTATCTTCAGGATGTTCTGTGTAATTAACAATCCACTCACATCTGTTGTTGCCATGATTTTTCTTTTTTTGAACATTTATTTCATTTAGATTTGTCTGCCGTGTTGCCATTTGCTGTGCCTATTTAACAGTCACCTTGTTGAAACTGACACTCTGTCCCATTTGGGAATGTCTCATTTGCTGCCTTTTTTTTGCTTTATTTTTACTGTCTGAAGTGTTTGTATTTTACTGTCATTGTTCCCTAATATCCTCACAGCTCATACATTACTGTATCTTCTCCATGTGATTGCTTTCATGATTTCTCAGTCTAAAAGTAATAATACTTGTAGAGATACTTGGGCTTTTGCAACTTCCAAAAAATATCACCTCATGGTTACATTCCCTTTAAATATCCTGAAACAAAAGGGGTATGTGTGCATTGCCAAACACAAAATGTTGTTGGACTACAAATAGGTTTGTGTGGACCATATGGGTGCAGTGTGCCTTCATGACTGCTGGTGTGTTTATACAATTCCCAAAATGTTAACTGTGTCCTTTATAATTTTGATACATTGTCATACAATTATCTTTACATTTCTGTTACAGTTGTTCATTCTCTGTGGATGGTTGGTAACAACTGACTTCATATTATATAAATACGTATATGATAAGCCAACCACGGCTACTGTCTTTTTTCCAATGATTTCATTGAATAAATTGTATAAAAGCTGTGTACTTCCTATATTGTTTGTGTTATAAATTCCTCCATCCTTTAAGCCTTTGCAGCAAGGCGTGCTATTGGTGGCTTGTTTTTCCACTAATAATCCACAGAAGATTGCGCCCTTGCCCACCTCACTGATTGTGTGATCGGTTGTTTAGATGTTTGGAGGACAGAGAGCTCTTAGTTTGTTCTTGGCCTTAGACATGGAAAAATGAGAGTAATGTAGCCGAAAGGATATGATGCATACTTGACATCAGATATTGTCGAGGTCATCGGTCACATGAGGCACAGACTCCTGCTGAGGCTTCTCTTGGCTGGCTTTTTAATGGGTGCGGTAAAGGGAAATAAATAGCACATTTGGATCTATTGTCAATTTTTGTGCTGAAATAAATATTGTACATGTTTGCATCTTTTGAATTACAGTGATTTTACAGTGATCCTTTTCTTCAGTTTTTCAGGGTTAGATCACATCAAATAGTGTCAAAGAACTATGTTGAGAAGAGGTACTAAAAGAGTCCTTAGTCTGCACCTAACAAGCAAATCCATCCCGGTTCAGCTCCAATAAAATTTGTTCCAACTTCCTAGCCCAGTGTCATCAGGAAGGCAGAGAAGAGAATCCAGTAAAATGAGGCTGTCACTTTTCAATGAGCTTCCAGCTGAGCAGTCCAACAGATCACATGGAAGCCAGCAGCTGCTCCCTCCTCTCGCTGTTTCCCCAGAAATGGAGAAAGGTGTTCCAATATGAGGGGGAAAAGTGCCTGGAAAAATTGTAACATAATTGTGAAATTACATGTCCTTTGGAGAACCATGTAGCTTTCTCAGCAAGGTGTCTGGTTCCCAAATCTACAGTAGCTGTAAGTTATAAAAAGCAATCTGGAAGTGTAAGTGCGTGGATTTTGCAGAAGTTGTTAGGATTGGTAGCAGAAATCTATTTGATTAATTTCTGACTGACTTCTCTTTCATTTTTAAGTCATTCAACTCACATTTTTACCCACATTCAAGTTAACACACAATTTTAGGTGATAATAATGTACATTACATGCAATTAAACATTGCATTAAGTGTAAGCAGCAATGAAAAATACATGGCATTAGGATATTTTAAGAACAGAAAACTTTTCTGGAAATATCTTTGATTTCTGTTTATCTCAGTGTTGTAGAGAGTATAATAACATATCTGTATATATATGTACATGTTACAGAGGACAGAATACATTTTTTTTGGATGATTTTGATTGCAGCTAATGGTGTACTGAGGCCCCCTAGTGGTGAATGTATGTTAGAAAGAAAAGAAAAAAGAAAAATGAGCTGAGGCAAAACAAACTACCAGTCCAGTTGTTCAAATAGAAAAATAAACATGTTCATTCAGCTCAGACAGAAAGTCAGTTTACAGGACAGGGAAAGGAAAACAATTCATATTCACTTGCTGTGAGTTGCACATAACAAAAAATACAAGTGATCACATCTGTTTAAAAATGTTATTTACACAAATTCACAATATGAAACACAATTCAAAAGTGCTACAGTATATTTCTATATTTCAGTGTCTAAACTTTGTGTTGAAAAAAGGCTTTAACTGTTGTTTTTCTCTGTAACGATAGAGTGTGTGTTTGATTTCAATATGCTTCAGATCATTTACTCAGTAAGGGTTTAAATAAAGAGGAGAAAACTACAAATGGGTTAATCCTAGACATTTACAAAACAGTACAAAATGATCACAACAGCATATGTTATGGTCAAATTTACAAAATGATCCACAACATTTTACTTCTCCCTTGACAAAGCAAAATCTCAATCCAGTTATATTTCACACCGTCGTCATTCATTTTTACTGCCTCTGTTTTTGATATTTACAATTTCATTTCTGTTACCAAAAGAAATATATACTGAATTGAATTTATGTTCGGTCAGAGAAAACTCGCTTTACCATGAAGCTCTACACTAATTAGGTTCGATCTCACTAAAAACACACAAACCCATCAATGAGTCCTTGTTAGAAGATTGGGGCCCAGTAAGTCTTCTGCCTTTACTGTGGATATCAGTATATTTTATGTCCTGTCATATGTGCAGTTATCTCAGTAATGCAATAATTGTAATTTTAAGATCATTCAAATATATGTCCAACATGAACTGTAAACAGCGTGTGAGCCATGTAGCAGAGCTAGCTGTCTTTGGTAAACTCAGGCACCTCCAGCACCATGCACACCTCCAGGCTGCCTGGCAACTCCAGGGCCAGAGCAGGGTGGAACGGCTGGGTGAAGCGCTGGTAGAAAGTGCCTAACAACTGACCACTCTGGGCATTATAGAAAGATAGACGACCAAGCTGGTAATCCAGGAGAGTACCCACTCGCTCAGGCATCTCAATCACGAACACAGTGGACTGAACGTCATTGTGAAGCAACTGATACCTGCAGCTGGACACACAAGGAAAGCAAAGGGAGAGTTTATACCAAAAACAGTGATGGGATGTGCAGTAAATTAGACTGAAATGCTTTGTGCATACCCTGATGGTGTAGGGATACACTGCAAACACCATGAAAGGTTGTTTTCCCCCAGAGGACTGTTTCTATTGGCTGTGCTGTATGCCACTCCAAGCCTGTAAGCTGCACTTCTTGACACAATGGTCTCCCAGTAGTAATGTCCGTGTGCTGGCAACAACTCACCCAGGATGGATGGACACCTAGAAAACACACAAACTCAGTTTAAACATATTCATTAAAAGGGATCTAAGTAATGGTAGGAGATGACTGAAACTCACTGTTTGTTTGTAGAAAGTGTGTTTGCAGGTGAGTCTTCAGAGTAGTGCAATGTGGTCTGGTCCATTGACAGCTCCAGAACTGGGTGAGCTGAGGTTTTCAGCAGGTGGAACCTTGTCCCTGAAAACAGTAACAAGCCAGAGAAAAGAATATGAAAATGTATTTGTGTAATATTACACACAAATAGTACAGAGAGAGGGTAAGTGTGGGTTTGTTACCTTTGGTTGAAATGAGTGCAGCCTCGCTCTGTTCGCTGGCCCCAGCCTCATTCACAGCTTTGATGTAAAACAGATAATTCTCACTGGGCTGCAGGAGAACCTTCTGTTCACAGCTTTTGATACCTGAGATGGACCTAGAAGTATGTCACACACACCCACAAAAATAAACCTTGGTGCATCAAAATGTGTCAGTGTATAACATATTGTACTGGTTTGGGCAACAAGTGAGACTTTACATTTTTACGTCAGACGTATGTGCAGTTTACTATTAGTTGGTTTAAAACCAAATTGGCTTTCCTAATATTGTCAGAAATTACAGAATTAGTTTCATTTATCTCTCTGGCTGGGTACTGATCTGGCTTAAATAACACACACCTGAGCCCCTCTCCCTCCAGTTCATACTGTCGGCAGTACTCCAAGGTGTAACTCTGTTCGGGAGTCTGTTTTGTTGTGTTCCACCGCAGTGTGGCTGAATCCCACATGACAGTACAGAGTTCTGTATCAATCACTGGCACTGATGGAGCTGCCAGAAAGAGAACAAGCGATCAATAATAGTGTGAAATTTGCTTTTGGCTTTGAAGAGCAGTCTGCACTATAGCAGTGAACAAATCTAAACTCTGTAACTTTATCTCCAGTGTGTGGACTGACCCGTTCTGAAGGCCAGTCTTTTGCTGGGCAGAGAGCAGCCTGTGTAGTTGACAGCCATCACCCAAACTTTGTAGATCTTATCAGGCTCCAGCTCCTCCAGGACACAGTAACTCTCCTTCACTGTTACACGGTACTCCTCTGACACAGCTGTGGACATAAGCAGGAACACATGCAATCATCAATATTTAATCACAGTTGTGCCAGAAAACTTGTTGACAGGATTTTAAAGTTCATATAAACAAAATCTATTATAAATACTAAAGATAATTTACCATAAAATATCTTCAGTTAGAAGGATCCATTAACTCTAATTTCTGCCAAAGCACTACATCAAGTTACCTGAAGTATATGATAGTTAAGACATAAAAAATATAATAGGAGCCCCTTGAGGACCTGTGTGTGGGATTCTAAGCTAATGAATATGCAAAAATGTTATCTTATTTTCAGCTCATTATACACATGAAAACATATCAACGAATATGATATCCCATTACTGTCACTAGTTCCTCCTAAATGTTACACACTGGACTTTTAAAGACCATCTTGAAAGCGTTTACCTCCTTGTGGATCCTCCATGCAGTAGACCTGGAAGCAGTCTATTATATCTCCAGGGTTGACTTTCCAGTAAACAGTGACACTGGTGCTGGTGGCTGAGCCTGGCTCCTGAGACTGCAGTGTAGGACTCTGAGGCACTGTGGCACAGGAGACATACACAATCCATAACTGCCACATACATGCACATGATATGAGACTTCTTACAACTCTCAGGTGTGTCTGCAAAGATATGTCTACATCAGACCTACCTGGGATTCCCTTGCGCTGTGCGACGTGAGAGCTGGAAGTGTTGCCCTTGGCATAATCCTCGAACACCAGCAGTCCCTTGGGACCCAGCTCCAATGACATGGCTGTGTCCAGAGCTGCCTTGAGTCTGTCCACACAACCACAGCATTTAGCCTTTGGCTACAACTTCAAGTCAGCATCAAAAGCCTTCTTTTATATATACTGAGCTTGAATCTACCCCTACAGTTGAATATTCAGCATATTGGCACACTGCAGTTCTACTACAGCTCTGAAGGTCAAGCAGCAAACTGCATTGGTAATCACTATCTAGTACCATTTTAGTAAAACTGGTTAGAAAACCACACTAGCTCACACTCCATTCACTGAATGCACATTACCTTGCATGAATGTCTTCAGGTGACTAGTGGGAGAACAGATTAAAGAAGTATTATCAGAAAATTGATATATAATATAATACCACTGATCAATAAGCCTCAAGAGCCTCAGGACTCACCCGTGCATCAGTCTCAGCCTCTCTGGCCGTGGTCTCCAGAGTGGCCTTGGCGGAGTCGATGCTCTCCTGGAAGGAGACAATCTGGTCATAAAGCTGCTCCAGCTTGGCCTTCTTCTCCTCCTCCATACTGACAGACATGTTATTGTACTGCTCCATCACCAGAGCCATCATCTCCTCATTCTGCGCCTGCATCGCCGCCTCAGTCTCCACACACTGGTCCTGGTAGAGGGGAGAGGAATGCAAGACAGAGACATTATATTACTAACGAAATTTAATATTATGATGTGTATCGTGTAATTTATTAAAAACATTATACTGACCTAATGGCAAGTATTAAAAAGAGGTATAGTTCTACTTAGTATTAAATGTGAAGACACAAAGTCAGTTTGTTTTACCTCTACAGAGTTGTAGGCCAGTTCAAGCTCAGACACCAGGTCCTCGATGTTCTCTGACCTCCCCTGAAGCTCTGAGATCCAGTCACTCAGCTTCTCCTGATAATAAAAAAAACGCTTGCAGATAACATATCATGTTTATAACCCAGAGCCTCTGAGAGCAAGATGCAGCTGGGATTAAAAGGTTCACATTTTCTCTATTAAGTTTACTGTATCTCTGTGTAACTATGTATATTCAAAGAGCTCTTAGTTGTTATAATCATTCCATTGTTTTTCTATTCACCAAAATAGACTGATCTGAAAGAGCAGTTTTATTAATCAGAAACAATGCAGCAGTGTTTTCTGCCCTGTTACAATCACTGCTGAATTTCTGTAACAGTAATCTGAACCCTCCCTTCACTTTCTTCTTCTTTGCTGGAACAGAGACGTACAGCACATTAATTCATGTCAGTGAATCAAACTGTCTAACTCTCTTTCTTTCTCTGAATTGAGTTCTCCCTACTCTGAAGATTCAATTAAAGGTTATTTAAGGAATCTGATCCCATTTCACAGGACATGGATGCTCCTTTCTGTTGTTATTACTTAGACTGATCACCACCCAAACTCTGACAGCTCACATTTATCAAGCTGTGGTCCCTTATCGGTCCCTGTTCCTTCTGAGGCTGACCTCCTCTCCACTAAAAGTCAGAAGTGCATTGTACATTCTAGCTAAGAGGACTGGACTGGATATAGTTTTGCTAAGTTGTTTTGGTCAACTTGTCAGGATTGATTTTCCCCTTGTGGGGTATCTGAATAGACTACACTTCTTGGTGCTGAAGTCAGACTTGCATTATAGCTTTGATCTTTGTCTTATTTACAGTCCAGCTGTCAATGTTTCATATAAATACAACTCACACATGCAAAATACCTGGTTGAAATATCATCTGGAAATGAAATTTGATCAATCTCAGTTTGTTCCAGCTTTCCTTTGATTTAGATGCCAGATACTTTGTTTATCAAATGCATGGCAAAATAAGTCACAACACTCATGTTGTTGAATGTATCCTCACAGATTATATAATATTGTCTCTCCTGGAGAATAAGTTTGCCTCGCGGGTTAAAAAATGAACAGATAGCTTTGCCGAACTGCAGGTAAAAGATAACAAAATGTTTCTTTTTCAGATTGCTAGAAGGTGCTATGAAATCAATAAAGATTAAAAAAAAGCAGATGGCTGACCCTGTGCTGACCCATAGGGACAGCGAGGGAGAACACTGTGTGTGAACAGATCACATATCAGTCTCCACTTGATGATGTCACACTGGACCTTTCCACCGATCAAAGCAGAGCATTACATCACAACAATTCAATGCGCTTGCCCGCAGCTTGCCAGCGGCCAGAGAGCATGCAATCTGCCAGCATGAATGGAAAAGTTATAGCTGACTAATTTAGGACCACTTTATTATATGATGACCCAAACTAATGCCAGTAAAGTGTGTGACGATCAGAACCGTGTTGTGTAATAATGCTGGTAAAGTGTATGATGATGAGCTGCTATTTGATTACAACATGCCAAAAGACATGAGAACTGCTGTTGCATCACTTCAGAAGCAGCCTGCTAAAGTGATCAAGTCTCTGAGGCCACAGACAGAACAAAAAGAAAAAAACATGTTATCTGAAAAGGTGTGATTCAACATTTTGGGAAATATGCTTATTTGCACGACTGTGCTATTAGACTGCCTTAGTTTTAGCTGGGTGTACCTAATAAACTGTAAACTGAGCGTATATTCCTTTTGTTTGCCATAAAGTCACACAAATAAATGTACAGTATGTCTCCTACATAGTGATATGAATTATGTTTGGGGTCAGACAGAGAGGTCTACCTCCTTGTTAGAGCTCTTCTGAACAATGAAAACTCCAATAACAGAAGTCCAGTCAACACGAATCACAGATATAGAGATTTAGATATAGATGCAAATATATAGTATTTAACCATGTTTAAGAGCTGGCGTCTCTGAAACCACAAACATAAGTTATAAGTAACTGTCTGTAGTGAGCTTCTGAAACTTGTCATCAAATCATGTTTCTCCAGGACCTCAGACACAAGATTGGGATTGAGAAGCTCAGACGACCCTCATTGTAAACTCTAATAGAAACATTTATGTATATATGGAAAACATGTTCACATTCACATTCACAGTGCATTACCTTGATTTCCTCGTATGCTTTGTCCACAGCAGTCACCTCATGGCTGTGATGCAGTCCAGACCCATAGTCGTCCTCTGACAGCAGACATCCACAAGTGAGACAGAACCAGTCCATCCCCTGCAGCTCAGCTGCCAGTCGGGCCTGACTCTCCTCCTCTGCATCAATGATTTCATAGTCAGCCTCAATGAGCTCTTCTTCTGGGGACAGATCCAAGACTTTCTCCTCCTTCTCCTCCATCTCGATCTCCACCTCCACCTCCACCTCCAGAGTGGAAAGGATGTCCTTGTTTTCTTCAAAGTCCCACTCAGTCTTCTGCTCCTCTGTGCTGGCCTCCTCTACAGGTGCTAGAGGAGAATCCCTCCTGTCTAACTCGTTTATAGGTAGTGCTTCTTCCTCCAGAACAACTTCTGGTTTTAATTCAAGTTGAGGCTCTGTCATTGTTTCGTCTTTAAAGTCACACTCAGTCTTCTGCTCCTCTGTGTTGGCTGGAGGAGAATCCCTCCTGTCTAATTGGTTTATAGGTAGTGCTTCTTCCTTCAGAACAACTTCTGGTTTTAATTCAAGTTGAGGCTCTGTCATTGTTTCTTCATTTGGTGCCTGAAGGGTCTCAGGGCATATTGTTGTGGTTTCAGGTTCTATGAGATGTTCACATGTGCTGTCAGGTTCAGAGAGAACTACTGTATCACTTTTAGTCTTCTCTGGCTGCTGACTTATCTCTATGTCCATCTCTACAGCTTGTCCTTTGGGTACAAGGAGGATTAATTCATCACCCACATCCACCTTGTCCTGAACATCAGTCGCAGTGTCCTCTGTGGGGGTTTTATCTTTGGCTTCAGTTATCAGATTTGTTTTGTCTGATTCAGTGTCAGTTACTGACTTCCCTTGTTGATGCTGCTTGGACTCTTGAATTTCATGCTGTTTCTTGTCTGAATCATCAGTCTTGACTTCTTCTGGTATCACAGGTTCAGTTATCTCACTTAGAATCTCAGCTTTAACCTCTGACTCCTGACCAGCTTTAGTAATAAATGGAGGTACCTCGCTCTCAACTGCAGTTTTCTCTGTTAGATCTTCATGTTCTTCTTCTTCTCCTCCAGGAGCAGCTGTTGGAACATCTGTTTTCTTAACACTTGTTACCTCCTGAAGATCAATCTGAACTTGAGTTTTGATCTCTTTTTCATCCACTGCTTTTTCTATTACCTCCACTACTGCATGTACTGCAGAATCGCAGTCAGTGATAACCTCAACAGGTGCAACACTTTCAGAAACCACATCTGCTGCTTCTTTTTCCGCAAACAGTGTTGTTTCAGCTGATGTCTCTATTTCAGTAGAGGTGAGAATTTCCTGTCTTTCAGTCTTGGGTTCTTTCACTTCAGCTGGGACCTCTGCTATGACCTCAGTTACTACTGTCTCATCAGCGGCCACCATCTTAATGTCATTAGCCACCTCCTCAGACAAACTCTGCTCAGTTGTTTCTGTTGGTATTTCAGATTTAGTGATGATGTGTGGCCCCTCACTGCTTACAGGTGTTATCACAGCTGCCTCGTCCGTAGCATTTACAATCACCTGAGCTGTTTCTTCTACCACTTCTTGTGTTGGACGTGGCTGCTCAGTTTCAATAATGCTAGTTGTTTCTGCTGGCACCTCTCTCTGATTCTCCTCACCCTGCCCTGTTTTCTCTACTGTACTGTCAACGTGTTGGGTTCTAGGCAGTGGTTCATCAGTGCTTTTCTCAGGAGGCTCAGTTTGGTCTGTCTTTACTTCCTGTTTCATTTCCTGATCCCCCATCATCTCCTCCTCCTCTCTCAGTTTAGACTCCTGAATTGATTCTTCTAAAGCTTCCCTGACAGTCTGCTCTTCAGTCACCATGGAGAGTTTTATTTGCTCCCTCTCCTTTCCTGTTTTGTCTTCCAATGTTGCTGATTTTAAATCTTCACTCCTCTCACTGACCTCCTGTGTCTTTGGTTCCTCTATCTTCTTCTTGCCCTCATCTTCTTCTTCTTTAACCACTCTTGTTAGACATCCTGTCATTTCAAACTGACTCTGTGACCACATCATCCTCCCCACTCTCCTATCCTCTACTGTCTCAGGTTTAACCTCCACTGTGGGAATTTCATCCTTTAAAGTAAACTTCTCCAGGTACCCGTCCGCCTCCTCTGAATCTGATAAACGTCTTTTATAAGACTTCTCAGATGCCACGCTCTCTGCCTCAGAGTATTCATCAGCGCTCTTACTCCTCTCACCTATAGCATCCTCATAAAGGTCTGAGTACATAAAGGACATGGCGGTGGGCTCTTCCAGTAGGATAAGGTCAATTATCTTAGGGGGTCCTGGGGAGATAAAAATGGGTGTGAGGATGGTCTCTTGACTCCCAAACAACACTGAACCATTCTCCTTCGCAGATCTCTGGCTCTCTCGTCTCATTCTCATCCTTGCTCCACCTTCCGCCTCATCATCTTCTCTCCGCTGCAGTGCATCAGCAGGAGCTCCTTCTCCATAGAAGACCTCATCCAGGCGTTCCCCAACTATCTCCACATCTGTAACAAAGACAAAGGAGTCTTCTGATGCAGAAGGGCTCTCTGAGGCTGTCTCCTTAGCAAGCTTTTGCTCCTCTACTTGGGGCATCGCTGCAGGCTGTTCTGCCTCTTCCTGCGGCTCTGGAGTTTGTTCTCCAGGAACCCCCACATCAAGCAGGGTAAACTTCTCAAAGTAGTCTATGTCGCCGGTGCTCTCTTTCTGAGTGGGTGTGTGTCTGAGCTCTGTGAACGCTGATTGCTGAGAAGAATCTTCCTCTGAGGGCTAAGGAAATATCACAATCAGCAAATCAATCTTTTGAAGACAATTTAGTGTTTTAAAACAGCATTTCACAATTCACAAATGAATACATGAATTTCATGTGAATGGCAGAAAAAGGAAAATGACAGCAAAACTAGTGTTAAAAAAGTGTTAGAAATTAAATACCTCATTATCAAAACCACTCAAACCAATCAGATAAATCAGTAAATACCTCTTGGTGATCCAGTATTTCCCCCTCCTTTGGCCGGACATGATTCTGTTGTCGTGTCCAGTCATGGTGGTTTCGGGATTTGATCTTTGGAGTCTGGTCCAAATAAGACAAATTGTCCTGGAGCTCTGTGCTCTCTTCCTCATCCACAGTGGGAAGTTTGGAGGGGACTCTGATGTTGAGAATCTCATAACCCTCTGAAATCAAACTAAACAGCTGCTGATCTTTGTTTTTGATTTCCTCCAAGTCCGGCTCTGTTTCGGTTTTCTCCTTTTTGACATTTGGAAGAGAAACCTCTGCCATCTCCAGTCTCTCCACTCCAAGAGCTGAAGCTGATCTTGAACTACCAGGTCGGCTCAGCCTGTCCCCCAGCCTGCTTCTCCTTCCTCCAGACCTTGTCCTCCTGCGGACTATTTGCTCCTCATCAAATACGATGGTGATCTTTCCTGCGGTTCCAGAGCCCTCCATGCTGTAGGCTTCAGAGATGGAGCTGGTCTCAGATGCCCAAGGGGTAGAGCAGCGGCTAGAGGCTGTCTCCCAAACAATACCACTGTCCTCACTCTGAACAGTTACCATGGAGAACGATGGATCCACCATAAGGCACTGGAGTCTGGGGTTCACAGACTGGTCCTGGACAACCTCTCGCAGACTGGAGGAGAAGGAATAGACAGAGTTAGGGGAGGGAAAGCAGGCTGTTTGTGCTTTTCACGAGGAGAGGAAGGGCATGACTAAACAGTCTTACTGCAAGAGGAGATGCTTTTGGCACAACCCGTGGAAATGCAAGTAGAGACCAAACTAATGAATCAAATCGAAACATATCAGAGTAAGCAATGAAACCACATTCACATTTTGCACCTGAAGCAACTTAGCAAATCTAAGCTGAAAACATGATAACACCTGCTGATCTATTCTCAAGATGCAAACTTGAGAAGTGTAGATCTCCAGCATTAGAACAAGTGTCTGGTGCCAGGCTGCCAATGTGAGAGATGACCTGAAAAAATAATTATGAAATGTGCTCTGAGCTGTCCCTCTCGCTATGAATACAGCTGGGCTACTGCAGGATTACAAGGTGAAGTCCCAAAGCGTCATACATGTAATATTAGAGAAGAGATGCCTGGCCTTCCCAGATACATTCAACATATCAGTGTCTTTTACTATTTATGACATGGCAAGGATAGCTAGAGAACCCAGCACGAAACCTGATAAATTAGATGTAAAATATATGCCATATTTTAATATCAAATATTAGAATAGAGCTGCTTGCAGTGTCACACTGACAATTCCTTGTATGAAATGAAGAACAGATGACCATTTAATTTATTAAATCAAAGTAATGGAGTGCTACTTCGAGTCACTTGGACACACCACACACACTCTCCAGACAGAGATAAGACACAACTTATCTTTAAAGCACTAAATACAACAAGTTTCACGGTAAGATGTCCGAGTAGAAAAGACACCACTTCATACAGCGATAAAGTCGGACACAATTGAGGTTATTCAGCTTGTAAGCTCCAGTGTTTAAAGCACCTGTTTCTTAGTTCCTCCACCTCGTCTTCATCGTCCTGGCTGATGGCCTCTGAAGCCTCACACTCAAACTCCTGCAGCTCTGTCATCTCCGAGTCCAGACTCGCACACTCCTCCATCTTGGTAATATCCTCCCTCTCTTTTATTTGTAGTTTCCCAATGTTGTTTCTTTTCTGTGTATTTTAGAGTCCTCTTGATGTTTTCAGCCACTCTGATTTCGGACAAGTTGGTCCGCCTGTTTGTGTCATTCTAAGTTGGGTGCTGTCCATCTGACTCAGCGGGAGACAGAAATAGACTGAGTGGGGAATGAAAAGAGGGGAGTGGAGACAGAGAGGGACAAAGCAGTGACAGAGGGTATCTCACCGAGTCTTAGGTTAAGCACACTAACAACAAAGAAGAACTGACATAAGAAGTTCGATTTTGAACTTATCATAAAAAGATTGTTATAGATTTGGGGAAACCATCATTATCTTGTTCTGTACCGGTAGCTAACAACGGAATGAGCCTGTGTGACTTTAAGATCAAAATCCCCCTTGCTAAGTTAAATATAGGCCATGTGCTGAAACAGTACCCCCCGGTCCCCCTGCTGCTCGTAGCCACACTAAACAGGGCCACACGCACACACACAAGTATACGTATCTTGCAAGGTATCTAAATCATAGCACTACTGGCACTATACAGAAGTCATAAAACTAGGTGTAATAAGGTGTCAAACCACAGAACGAAAAACAATCAACACAGCTGCCAGAGGAGGCTGCAGAGAACACTTGAATAAAAGGTGCAGATATCAGATATATTTATAATTATTAAGGTCTATGAATCACAAGCACCTGTTATGTATTCAATGATGTTGGAACTGTGATGACAGTGGATAAGCTGCATTACCTGTAAGAAAAGAATTACACCTGAGGTGGCTTGGACCAGATATATTTTAGTTCCTGTGGATAAAATCTCTGATCTTGATTTTTAACTGCACAGTGATCAAATATATTATTGTGTGATGGATTAGCAAGTGTTTATTGTTGAGTCATGTTTATATCCCATTACCTTAAAACCTTACCTTAAAATGTAAAATTGAGAATGCCACCAAACCTCACTTTGTCAAATACTCAACACATCTGAACATGAACAAAAAAAGAAGCCAGTGTACAATTTAATATGATTTTGGCCCTTCTATTAGCATAGCCAAGAAGGTGGGCTTCACACAGAGCTGAAAAATATAAAGTGAAAACAATCATACATCTTCAAAGATTTAATGTTTTTTAAATTAACATTTAAAAGTCAGTAATGTATAAACTGTACAAAAAGATCTGAGGAAAAATATAAACCAAAATGAAAAGAAAAAAAAAAAACAAGGTCCCACAATAAGTTATGTATTAAGTGAACCGAAAATGACTGAATAACACATCTGTTTTTGTCCAAATTAATCAAGTATATAGTGAACTAAAATAGGCCTGACACCAGTGTAGGGAAAATAATACAACACATCAGTAACAATGACAAAAGAGTGGGAATATCTCCAGTCCAGCCCTCCAACGATAACTTCTGAGTAATGTATCACTTAATATCAAGTTCACTTTTCAGAGAGGCTTAGAAATACAACAATGGTGATGATGAAAAAGGAGAGGGCTCTTAATGCAGCTGTAGAAAACGGTGTCTATGGTGTTTAAACCCATAATAGCTTCAATACTGACCTAGAAAAATAGAAAAAAGGCTTTTATGTTACAAGATGGTCCAGGCAGGCTGCAGACAATATCCTCTATATATATATATATATGTGTATGTGGCAGAAACAGAAACCTATGGGCACCTTCAAAGCAGACTCTGTGCAGTATCGATATAACTAAAACAGATTAGACGAGATCAACTTGGTTGAGACCTTTTCCACCTAAACACTGTTGCTTCCATTTAGGCCAGCTTCACAAATGAGCAGGTCACAGGTATTATTTTGTCTTTTCATACTTTGTCAGTATACTGAACTTCTTACTAGGAATGCTATTTGCCCTGGGAAGGAGCAGCAATAAGATTTTAATTTCAGATCCCTCTGGTGTCACTACACAAATAATGTCTTTTTTCATTATCAGTTGAAATAATTACAAAAGATTGGCCAAGTCTGCAAAGCATTTGAAAGTAAGTGCAGTATTTTCAACACGTACTGCCGCGGGACATACAGTATGTGGCCGATACCTATGCAGCCAGAGCATTCAGAGTCCTGGAGTCTTTCTGGCTGTGAGGTGCAGAGGCAGCAAGACTTCTCTCTCAGCACACCCCAAAGGTCGCTCTTCGTTTCTGGGGACAGGCCTGTCTTGAGGTAGAAGACTCCCGTCAGCTCTTCTAATTAGAGGAATCCCTTATCTCCCGGATGACTCCTTCGTAATGATGGCTCTGACAGGGAGGATCGAGTTCAGGTCCTTTCTCTGTTGTAGTATCCGACTTGACTGCACAGACACAGAGAGATGAGAAGCAGGAGGATTATGAATAACTCATGGCTAGCCCACAGAGGCTTGGAGGAAGAACGAAAATATGAAGGGAGCATAGTTATCAGGGCTGGCCTGTACCTCAGCAAACTGAGCTTTAATGGCATCAAACTTGATCTTCTCATGGACTGCTCTGGCGACGTTATTTCTTTCAAATGGCTCTGAAACACACGGAATTGCTGTCACTCACTGAATATGTACACTCCCAGGTATTGTTAAGTGGTGGTGGCAGGGGAATATTATGTCCATGTTTACCTTCCACACATATGTATTTGTTTCTCCACTCTTGAGAATTGTTCTTAGGCAAAGCTCTGGCCTCTCGAACAGAGATCACCTGCTTATCCCACCTGCAAGACACAGAAGAAACAAAAAGTAATGGAGTTATTCCATCTTGTTAAGACTAAAAATAAAACAATGACCAAGGTCCTCAGTGGCTAATCGACTACAAAATATGCACACTTAGCTGCCAAAGTGCAGTATAACAACGAACCTAACTGAAACTTGCTTAATAATGCAAACATGAAATATTCTTATTTTTTGTCAAAAGATACAATAGTGTCATGTGATAATGTGATAAACAGTTTTGCAAACTCATTCTTCTTGGAAAATGTAAATGCATCTGAGACTTGAGTTGACATATTAACCTTCACACCATTACCTGTCTTTCAGCTCTGAAATCTTAAATGTTGTAAATGTTTAAATGTTTTTTTTTAAAAAGGGTACATGGACATGTTTTTGCAAAAAGAAAAAAAAGCAAATGTTCCCTGTAAGAGATTTCAGTCTTTGCAAGTTCAATTTTATAGTTTATTGACTTGAGTTGATTGAGGCAAACAGCTGTCAAGAAGGTAAGAAAAATGTCAGCAGTAAAGCACATGCAATTTGTACTAACTATTTGTTCTATTAACTATTTGGGCAAACAAAATGCAAAAATGACTGAACATGTGTGACCTATTTATGGTTCCAACGGTATGAGATTCTCATGGTATGATGATAACATTCTCGGAAAATATCACAATTTCACAGTATTACACAATTATTATTATAATCATCAGCAGTAACAACTGAGTAACACTGAGGAGGATCTATTGGCAAAAACTGAATATGATACATAGGTATGTTTACATTAGTGTTTTCATCTCCCTCTCTCCCTGTTTACACTCCTGCACACTTGGAAGACTGAGCTCTATTCAAATGGTTGCAATACTCTCCACTACAACCACCACTTTTTTTGGCTGAGCAAATGCTTTTTCATAATTTCACAAAATATTATATCCCATTTTATTTTAAAATTTAAACTGTCGAAGTCAATACCTTACATAAGCAAATATATACACATATAATATAATAACTGTCAATTTTTATATTCATATACCTTGATACTGCTGCAACCCTAAACCTGTCTGAGAGTTTAGTACTGTAAAATGCAAACATCCGTGCCTGTTTGCATGGTGAGTTTTATTTCAACCATTCGTTTTGTGTGGCAAAGTAACACACATACAGCAAACACAGGGATCATGGTATGTCATGCTAGTGCTGTCTAAGGCCAAAGGTCCCACCTGCTCCTGCCCTTCACCCAGAAACATGAAACCAGAGAAGAGGATGCAGGATAGAGGGAGGAGAAGAGAGACTGGAGGGGGAGAAGAAGTTGGCCGGAGGAGCAAAAAAGGAGGATTGTAAGCAAGAAAAAGAGCAGGCAAAAGAACCATGAGTGCATCTGAAACACTAGACTTCGTAATGTCATGTCCTTGGGAGATACCTGAAGTGTGTGGCATAGTATTTGAGAAAGCCCAGAAGCAGCTCCCCCAGTGAGGACTGGTTTCTTGAGATGTAGGGGGGGACATGTTTGGGTCCCTCTGGAACCATGTCAATGTCCATGAAGGGATTAAACCACTCCTGAAAATCAAGGCACAGGACAAAAGGACAAAGGCTTAAAATAATCGATTTTCTTTGTGACTGATAAAGCAAAGTTAAAGTTTCAGTGTGTAACATTTAGAAGGACTTATTGGCAGAAATTTAAGATAATATGCATAACTATGTTTTCATTAGTTTACAACCACCTGAATATAGGAATTAAAGTTATATTTTTATTTATGTTTTTGTTTGGCCTTAGAATGGGCCTCTTATATCTACCGATGCCAGAGGTCACCTTTAATGGAGTTGGCCACGTTGAACCGCCATATTTCTACAGTAGCCCAGAAGGGACAAACCAAACACCTTCTCCGGGTAAGGGCATTTTCATTTTTTCAGGGCCACCATAGTTTCTCCTTGAAAAGGCAGGGTCAATTGACAGAGTTGCAATCTACAACTACACTGCTAGATAAATCATACACACTGGACCTTTAAAGTGCAGCCAAAATGTTTTTTTTTTTTGCTTTTTTTACAAAAAGAGTTGAGAATGGAGAGTCTGCATGGCTTTCTAATTTTTATATTTCCTTTAATTTCTCTGTTCATCATATGTAATCATAAGTTTCCAGTTGCTGCTGCTGCTGCTGCAAAAAAGCAAACAATGAAGACACTTACTGGATAGTCCCTCTGTAGAGAGGGTAGGACCGGTTCATTAAGAGCTGTAAAGAAAACAACAAATACAAGATGAGATTCACAATAAATCAGTATAAAGTATAAATGAGAATGTGTGTGTGTGTCATTGTACTGACTCTGGAGGTAGTGCAGCACCATCAGCACCAGTGTGTAGCTGCTTAACGTTCCTTTGCTGGCATCATTGATTTGATTGTGTCGTGCCCATTTCTTGACAACAAGGATCATGGGTCTTATCCTGAGATCAGCTGTGGGAGACCAAACAAACTCAGCAGGTCAAAACAAGAAACTTTATCGTCTAACAAATGCACTGCTTGCACTCGGACTAATGTGTAGAGTGATCAGTCAGCTGACTTAAAACTAGATAGAGCAATTTCTCACCCACCATAGGCATAACTCCTCAGGAGGAATGTGTTTCTGATGCCCACTGTGTTGTTGATATTCAGATCAAACTCCAAATCACTAAAGAGGGTAGGAGTAATAAAATGGTCATATTAAAACGTCTTTCTGACTTTGATGATGTTGTAACAACAGGCTGCTACGACTGCTTTGTTCCTACCTGCCCTTCTCTCTGAACCTGAGGATGGGCACTTTGGCTCTGATCAGCTGAGTCCTCTCTACATATGCTTTGAATAAAAACAAACATCATGAGACTTATGGTGGTTCCAGTTTCTTTATCTGTAAACCTGAAACTCTTTTTCCTATGGGCAACTAGCTCCACCTAGTGAAGTCTGTGGAGAACATAAAATAAATTGTTGTTTGTTATATGCAGTAAGTAAGAACCAAGTTAGTTAGATAGTAGTAAGCAAGCAAGAGTTTTTCCAACCATGTTAAGAGGAAAATAAATCATTTGATATTCAAAAAAGTCGTATTATTACTCACACAGTGATTTGAACAACCTTTGCAGGACAGAGAGTACATGAATAGGATCATGTCTTTTCTGAAACAGAAAAACATACAGGTGTTAAAGAGGAAGTGGGTATCAATGAGTATATATACACACAAACACATTTTAGATGACATTCACAGTGCCGAGTCAGAGATACTCACATTTCCCTTGATGACCAGACACAGATCAGCATCACTGCTCCGGCAGCCCAATCCATTCATAGAAGATCCAGTCAAGTAAAGTCGGGCCACTGAGAGAAACACACTTAGTGAACGAAGAATCCCAACAGAAAGTCAGAGCAGAGAATACCTGTTTACTTCACACACACACCTGCATAGACTTGCTGTATATCTTGCTGCAGCCGAGTTCGGCACGTCTCCTTCCGGTCCAAATCGGAAGATTGCTGCTGGCACTCCTCAAACAGTTCCACCATCTGACCACTCAACTGAGGGCACAAACACAAATGCACGCTGACTAAACCAAGCATACCTGCATTCACCCACAGTCACCTGATGTATATAAGCTGCAGGTTAAGGTCATCTGATATACAGTACCTTGTCCTTGGCATAGGTCTGCAAGCTGTTGGATCTCTCTGTGACAGCAGGCACCTTAGGGTGGGGATGGGAGCGTGGGCTCGGATAAGAACTATCAAAATTTGATCTTGATGACCCTGCCACCACCGGGTCAGGACGAGGACGAGGAGGACGAGGAAGAGGAGGGGCCCGAATCAGAGGGGGGCCTATTAATTGTTGAGAAGAGGAGTCAAGCCGTTGCCGCTTCACAACATGGGGGCTGTAGTCAACATTCTGCCTCCTGGAAGACACATAATGATTAAAAAAAAACATGTGACAAGATATGTGATGAAGAACTTTCAGGTCAGTCTTTATTTTGATGAATAGATAAACAGCCTAAGGACAGTCTTAAAGAATGTATTTATTTACAATATTGGTACCAGGAAACAGATCCTACACAACACTGGTGGCATGGAGTTTGCTTAATGATCCTGTGTCAACAAACCTAATCTACTAAATAGCAAACCAACGTCATAAAGAGGGTGCTAAGACATAGCCTGTCCTCTCTTTAGACTACATAGCATAGAACGTAACGATGATTATCAGTGACTCAGTGAGTTTTCATATACATTACATTAATTCAGATTGTCTAGCCTGGTTTTATACATTTTCACTGAAACCATCCCACAATTAAATGTATCGAAGGCAAATGTTGAGAAAACTGAGGTTGGTTTAAAGATATAGAAGAAGAATGAGATTATTAAGTCATGAATAAATTGTAAAATCACATACTTGCGCCCATTGGCCGTAGTTGGTGTGCGAGGAGGAAGGACCGGATAGGTGGATGCTGTGGGCTTCCATTCATATGTAGGCAACCTCTCTAACCCAGGAGCATAGAAGCTACCGAACAGACAAGCACATATTACAGTACAGGACACACAAACGGGCAACAAGAAACAATCTGCAAGTTTACTAACACATGAATGTGCTGTAAGTGTCTTCGCCAGGCTCACCTGTTGCCACCACCGAGGCTTTGGTGGTTGTAATCATAGTACCGGGGCGCGGGGGGTGGCGGGTGAGAGCCATAGGGTGACCGCCCTCTCGGTGCAGCGTTGCGGGGGAACATGCTGCGGTTCTTCGCGGAGCTTCAGCATCAACTCCGCTGATTCCCTGAAATAAAAAAACAACAGAGTAACAACACAGCTAGGCAGCGTCAGCCATTAAAGAGCAACTGTGGCCACCACCGTTGCTGAACTCGCCCGCCGACAACAACAATGTTGGCTGAGCTGAAAGTTGGTGAGGAAACCGAAACTTATCTCTGATGGGACGACAACGCGAGCTAACTAACGCTAGCGCAGATCTCAACGCCTTGCTTGTTTATGTTTACTCAGATATCGGTAACGATGTTATCACAAAATGAAATCAGTTGCTCTGTGGATTCGTGTGGAGAACTCTTCTATAAAAGGAGGGGCTCTGTAACACTTACCGAATTGCATGTCACTTGTAAACAAAACCGAAGGAGCTAGTCACGGACCCACGGCGCTAGTTTCCTGAGTGCATACTTCCGTATTGATGCCATGACGTAATGGATTTAAAGGGGACGTGGCCCTGCTCGTTAAAGGGAAAATCCACCCAAAAGTAAATAAATAAAGGTTAGGCTACACACTGTGCTGTATCAATGATATTGAACTGGACAGTGAAATCAAATTTTTTTTTTTTAATCCATTACATAAAGACTTGAACTGATGATATCTGTGACTGCCTGTGCAGACTGAATAACATTTTGTTAAAGGGACTGTATCCAAATGAGTTTAATTTGAATGTAGAGCTTGGAGCTGTGAATCAGATAAGCCCGCTTACTAGTGAAATCTCCATAGCTGCTGTCACGTTGTCCATTATTCATTCTCTGTGGAGCAGCTACAAAATTTATCTCTAGAGGACATCTTCACTTGAGTCAGTCCGTCTCAGCTGTTTTGCTAAATTTTTCAAATGCACATTTTTAAACTGATTCTATTTTAGGGTTGGTTTAAGTCCACTATGGTGCATCAGTGAAAAGCAGGACTGACTGTGATTTCTGTAAGTGGACACTAAATCAACAGATGCAGTTAACAAGAGCCTGTCTGTGAGCCTAGACTCTGAATAATTTATGGTCTTTCATTATTGTATTGAGTTTTGTTACTGTTATTCTTATAGCTCTGTGAGTTCTGTGACCCACTTTGACCCACTAGTCCATCATCATTACATTCATTCATTATGTAAGTAGGCTAACTGAGCTCTTATCATATATGAGTCTCCAGATTCTCTGATTTGTAGCCTTTGGTTTTTCTAGGTAAGACTGACTTAAGCCATGCTATAACATTTCTAAATTTCTAAATTGAGCCCTGATAGAGTTATTCTCTCACATCCACAAGTTCAGAATTAGATAGTGGCCCTAAAATCTCTTTTTTTATGACTTCGGTGGAACCAATTAAATAACACAAACTCATAAAACAGCTCACAGAGACCCATACTAGAAAATATAAATAAACAACAATAAACAATCGCATAAGAAATAACAAGTACACTTATAACAAATATTCATATGGGTGCATAATTAGCTTTACGTTATCTTTAAGTCACGCTTTTGGATTTGCCCTATGTTTGCAGGCTGCCAAAGACAATTGATTTATTGACAGCCAATAGCCTAAATAACTCATGGAGCATGAACTGGGTTGATTACTAGAAAATTGTGTTATCTTTCCGAAAGCAGTGACCTGTTCACTGACTGGACATAATAATACAATACTGCTGCTAGTAGATACAGACAGGGGAGAGAAATTACATATCACATCCTTGGAATAACGTTTTCTCTCAGCATTTTGTAAGTAGGCCCAACAAACTTCTTATAAAACAACAGAGCATCAAATGGCATCAGTCCCTTGAGCACCGAGTGACGTCACTGCGGAGGACGGTGTCGTGACGTAGGCAGTTCAATACTGACAGCGATCTGAGTGGGAGGGAAGCGGATGCATCAGCCAGATGTGGAGCGGTTTTGGGGGGCGGGGTGCACATAGGGGTCCGTGGTTAGGCTTAGATCAATAAAGCAGAGACATATAGCTGCAGCAGAGAAAGCGCAGGATGTTTCATTCAATGCAAACGACTCCACATACCAGTACGTAGGCTATGTAAGGAGAGCCGGCATTTGTCACGTGAAACACACAAACACACACACACACACACACACACACACACACACACACACACACACACACAAAGGTATTAAATTGATGTTGCAGAAAGCACAAGATGCTGTGGGGTTAGTTCTGGGGCCACATGAGAAATCGGCTTTATTACAGAAATGCGCAGGTAATAGTGAGTGTGTGGTATAGCTGTGAAATAGCTGTAGTCTGGGCGAGAGAGTGGGGGTGTGACATGTGAGCCTATGGTAATGAGAGAGAGAGAGAGAGAGAGAGAGAGAGAGAGAGAGAGAGAGAGAGACGCGGGTGGACAGTGGGATGCTGTGCGTTATACTGGCTAAATGAGGGTTGTCTTTCCAAGTTCAGTCAGCAGGGCTTCTCCACCCTTCCAGCGAGGATCTGTAATTTACACGACAACAGCAGGGCGCCTGTCGGATCTCCATTGGACTCTGCGCTGGATCTCCCACAGCACTGCCACTGCTGCTGCTTCTCCATCACCAAACCCTCTACGCCGAAGGACGAGAAGAAGATCTGATTTCCGTGCCATGTGCAGAACGACATGTATGTGTGATTTCATGCGGTGACAGTGGAGGGGAATGGAGCAGTTGTCATCAAATTCCTGCAGACGCACCGACGGTGATACATTGAGGGCTGTCGTGTAGAGAGAAGACCTTCATACGCAGCAGCCAATCCGAGAGATACATTTTTATTGCCAGCGAAAAGGATCGTTAGTCAGGTCGCCTTCCATGTCATCCACAACAATGGGGTAAGTGTGATTATTATCCCACAGGCTGACTGAGTCCCCTTTCCCTCCTTTCTGCATTCATATCAGCTGCGGCTGCCTCACAGTGTATGAACTTCCCTGTCATGGAAACCACACCACGCATAACACGACAATGACCTGGGTGTATGCGTTAAAATGTATCTCTCTGTCTAACATGACGTCTAAAAAACCTAATGGTGGCTAGTTCAGGTAGTGCTGTAGTGGTGAGCCTTGATGTGCTGTACACTAAAACCACAAATTCTGACATATAATGAAAGAACTTTATTCCTCTTTCCCCTCAGAATATGCTGTTTGCCAGAATAGAAATGCACGTTGGGCCCAACATGCTGAGACACAAATGCTAGTGCAGAAGTTGCCCCATCATCAAACTTTTAGGATTGAAATAGTGGGATAATCTGCAGTGATTCTCAAAGTGGGACTAGCAGTGGGTCCCACAGGGTTTTTTTGTCAGGGGTTCTCACCTTAATGAAGCAAAGCTTAAATTCCCTAGTATTGCACAAGAACAATGAGAGTGATTTAAGATGCTGTTTTTTCTAGGTCTCTCTGTCCCACTGTTTACTCCCCACCTACATTACAGACAGTTATGTAATTCTTAAAGAAGGCATGTGTAACAACAGCATTTCTTCTCAAGTATGCTCAAACAGAGATCTGTGGTCTGATGTAGCTACTGTACATCCTGTTCTGGGTCCTGCTCTAGAGAAGGTTTCAGAACCGTATAATGTCAGAGCAAGGGAATGTCAGTAGCAACAATGCTGCACTAGGCTCTAGTGACAGAGAGAGGCTTTCTGTCTCTATGGCAGCACAGTGACCGCTACCTTACACATCCTCAACAACAGGCACCCATCAGTGAAATATCCGCCTACTGCACAGCGCTGCTCATTTGCATGTCCCTTAACCCTGCGCTCAGCGGTCCATTTCCCCCACCAAGCCTGCCGTCCATTAACAGCTGTCTCCCGCAGTTCATTGTGATTAATTGCACAGCAGGAGGTTAACAATATGGCACAGGCATGGTGCGATTTCAAGGCATCAGCCAAAACTCTTGCATTAACTATTTACAATACACTGGAGGCTTCCCAGGGCCCACTCTGCCCTCCTACAGTGTGGGCAGCACATCATTCAGCGGTCTCCCACTCAGCTTCGGCTCTCCACTGGGCTCTGCCACACTGGTGACTAAGTTACTGTTATGCAACTGACTCAATGACTCAATTGATCTACAATGGAATAAATTGTAAACTGTGATTCAAAGCACTATGCTGCATACAGTGTGTGTATTAAAGTCTGAATATGTGCAGGTGCAGATGAGATGAAAGAGTACATATGTGCAGATCTGTTGTCTGGCTACCTGCCTAGCAGTAATGGCACAGACAGAGTCATATTTCACTTCTGGCCTCATGGCTGAATACCAAGCCAGTTACAGCTCTAATGGTAATGGCACAGAGGAGAACATTAGTGTTGGATGAGAACTGGAGATGCCTATCAACACTGTCTCTGGTGCGCTCTCACTTCCTTGGGCAAATACAATCAGTGCACAGACGGACTTGGTTTCTCTCTCTGTCTTTGTCTTTGCCGTTTGTGTGGGTGTGTGTGTGTGAGAGAGACAGAGAGAGAGAGAGAGAGAGAGAGAGAGAGAGAGAGAGAGAGAGAGTGTTCACAGGCACATCTCAGGTCATCCAAGCCGCTCCCAGTAGGTAGAGCAACAGGGAGCTCTCTCATTAATGACATCTCTACCTTAAATAAGATCTACTTGCCTTCAAGCTCTTCTCCGTTAAATTAATGAAAAACTCTGGAAACAGGGACAACTTTTAGAAGGAGGTAGGGTGGAGGTGGATGTGTCAAGGGATAGTGAGATCTCTGGACCATTCATTATGCTTCTGTTTCACTGTCAGTGTTTGCAGGAAAAGGGGCAGCAGCACAGATAAAAGGGACACACTGAAGTAGAAAATAATGCATCCTTTTATGGTATAAGTGATGTGTGTGTGAGCTGTTTGGTTACACACTGTGACTCAATGACTGAGTTTTCACATCTGTGCATCAAACCCCTGAAGCACAAGATGGGCTATTGGTAACACTTGTTGCCGCTCCTGGAGCTGCAGATATGTGTGTGTATGTGTTCATGTGAAATGCCCGTAGGCATTGGTACAGTGTTGTTCAATGATCAATACTTATGTTAACACGTGTAGAGTTGACGTGTGTGCCATAGCTCAACATATTTTAAATAGTTGGTTCACCCCGGTTACAAGATACAACAAACAGTGATAACTAGCCATGCAGGAAGTTTTTGTTTCATATTTTATTTGATCCTGTTTACACCCTTTTGTAAGGCATGGCCCATCTCTGTAAATAGTTTTCATTTTCATTTTCTGTAGTCGAAAACAGTTCCAATACAAACAGTTCCCAGTAGATTACTAAAACTAACAGGGACATTGTTTCTGGGAAGATGTATTACCGTTTAGATGTATTTTTCGTTCACTGTCATTAGGTTGGAGGAAGACATATCTCAAAACAAAAGATCAAAACTATTATGGTTAGGTACCACGAGAGGTAAGTGAGAAAACGTGTGGGTACATATGTTGTTGTAATTTGTGTGTACTAACCCTTTAAATAACAACACACCTGGCAGTTAAGTTTATGTAGCAGTCCACCTGTAGTCTCATTCCTTTCTGTTTTCCAAAAATGACTACTACTGACTTAAAGTCTGGGTTTAAGAAATTGCTAATGTCATCAATAAAAGTAAAGGAACATCTAAAAAACGTAACATTTGCCTACCAACATTAGTAACAAATACTCAGTTTTCCAGAACACATCATTTCACATAATAACAAAATAATTTTAAAATGTTATATATTATAACACAGCATACAGTTTATCTGTGTGTTGCTTTCCTTATTATGGCTCTTACACCATCCATTCCTTCTTATTAACATCCGACGTTATGTCAGCAAAAGTGTCTCAGGCACACAACTTGTACACATGAATCTGTTTGACACTTGACCATTTTCCCGTAAAAACTTTTCTCTGAAAGTTCATATTTAAGCAGCACACAGTCATACTTAGCGTAATTGTTTATACCACACTGCGTAGCAGTTTGGAGCTTCCCACTCCCTTCATCTTCTTCTCAGCGCTCCATCCTCACATACATTCATCACCTCCTCCACGTTCTCCTCATCCCTCCCTTCTTCTCTCACTTCGTCACTCTCCCTCCCTCTCTCATTCTGCCCGCCTTCTCTGTCTGTTTTAAAATTCACGTTCTTTACCTGCCCTTGTGTCATGCAGTACACTCTGCATGCTAAACACCTCCTCCTCTTCCTCTTCTTACTCCACGCTTTCTCCTTTACCACTCATTCGCATCCCACTGAAATTACCCTCTCGCTAACCCACTCTTTTCCTTTTTTCCTTTCCTCTCCTGTTTTCTTTTCCATTTCCTCTGACCATGTTGCTTTTGTTTTCACATTCACACCCTTGTATGCACTTCTGTCATGGACTGATGTAAGATAGACAGCATATTAAGGCTTTCCCTATTCCCTATGTTGTGTCCCTATTGCTAAATCTGTGTAGCTGCCATGCAGCCTACATGCTACTGCTGGAGTTCATCGCTCGAGTGCAAGAGGATCAACGCATTCTGAATTGACCTCCATGCAAGCCCATAACTGGTAACTCTGTCAAGCTATTGGCTCAGACCAGAATCACTGTAGAAAAGACTAGTGTAGAGCATGTATGGTGGAGCTGATTATGAAAATGCCTGGTTTTGAGAAAGGAAAATGTATATGAAAATAATAGAAAATAAGAAAGCAGCATTCAACTTAAATTACATTCGATCATTTATTGTGCTGTCTTTTAAAAGTTCGTTTGTAGGAGTAGGTATTGCTTTTTTTGACAACTGGTGGGTGTCGTTTTGGAACAGAACTCTTTGGCACAGGCATTCATGTAAAAATCAAAGCACAAGAATGTTGCTGTGATTGGTACAAACACAATCAAGCAATAAGAAGTGCAACATTTGCCACAGCTCCATCAAATTACGCAATGAAAAACAGTGCCAGTTGCCAAGCGGCTATTGCACAGATCATACGGACAGGCCGTGGTTGTGTGATGTGTGCTGGGAAAGAGTTGAAATGACTCACAGTTCCGCCACTTACACTGCTGTCGATGATTATGATAATTCGCGCACAGCACTCCACAAGCAGCTTTGTGGAGCGACATTAATCATCCCAGATTCACTCTCTGACTTCCTATACTCTTCACATTCCCCATCATTCTCTTTCTCCTCCTGTCTAACTTCCCTCTCTCTCTCCCTGTCTCCATGTTTTTCTTTCTTTCCCAGTCTTGGCTAATCACACACAGGAGGGGTGCTGCTGCTGAATTTTAATATTCATTTATACAGCAAGCCTTTGATGTCCCCCATCACCCCCTCAGTGCAGTGTAAGCACTTCTCTATCTCCTGCTCTGCCAGCACTGCCAGCCCAGAATATCTCCCTCTGCACCCTGCGCATTGAGTGTGTGTGTGTGTACTGACTGTAGATATTACCCAAGAAGCCCCAACAATGCTGGAATATATGAGGGCATTGTAAGAGCAAACTGAGGAGTGAGAGATAAATGGACAAAGGGTGAAGGTGGCGCATGAGTGATGGTTGAATGGATGGTCAAAAAACAAAGAAGACTCTTTTATAATCACCTACGTTAATGTGGTTTGAGTTTCACACAGAGGTCAATAAGGAATTAACTCATCTCAAACCGAGGAGATCATCTACAGATCTAAGCTACTACACAGACACAAATCCACATATAGCCTACACTCACACATCAATACAGATTTATAATTCCATCACGTCTGTGTCACAGTGTGTGCATGTTTATATATGCACATGTATTATGTGTGTCTGTGTGGAAACTGCAGCTCTGTGGGGTGTGTCTTTGGTAGTTAACCATGGCCTACTGTCTATATTTAGCTTTAAATCCTCTCCTTTCCCCCCTGTGCTCCCCTGTGTGACCCTCGCTCAGTGCTGCAGGCATTCCCATATCAGAGCATTGAGAGACGGCGCTGCCTTACACAGAGAGAAAGACAGAGAGAGAGTTTCTGTTGAGTAGCTGCATTTAGTGTATTGGTTTCCAAGTAGAAAGATAATGTATCAGAGGAAGTGTAGACTTAAGGTGTATGTGGGAACTCTGCTGTAGCTTGTCAGTTCAGTTACTGTAGCTTGTTGTCCATGTATACAAGGCAATGAGTGTATCTAGTAGTCTTTTCACAGGCTCTCTTTCTGTGGTGTAACTATGGAGGATGGCGAGTTGGTAATTCGGTTGCCAGGGCGATCAAACTCCCCCGTAGGCAACAGGAGTTTCGATGCTGGTGGTGGGTTTGGTGAGACGTTGGTATTGCGGCACAAAGAGGTTCACAACTTCTTCTTCGTCCCCTTTAGGGAGCAGCCCATCTACAGCACTCGGGCCCACGTCTTCCAGATTGATCCCAACACTAAAAAGAACTGGCTGCCCACCAGCAAGCATGCCGTCACTGTCTCCTACTTCTACGACAGTACGCGCAATGTCTACCGCATCATCAGCCTGGATGGCACCAAGGTGAGCAGTTGATTGTTATTGTACACCTTTCACACTCTGTTGCACACAAAACACACATTTCATCATCCCTCTTCTACTGCATCCATTGTGTAATTTTAATTTCTGCCAACTGATATGGTTTTATGAAGATGTCAAACAGTCTTTCAGGAGATTTTAATGGCGCTGTGATCCACTGAGTGTTAATGGTGTTAATAAGCTCTGCACTGGAATCTAATGTGCACACATCTTAAAAGAGCTCATCGTTGCAGCCTATCCCAAGACTGACAGCTCATGTTACATTGTGTGTATGCTTGCAACTACTGTATTTGTGTGTGCATGTCTGTGTGTGTCTGACTGCACTTCAGAGTGTACACTTAATGTCTCAGGATATTCTTGTTAGAGATCTGAGAGGGATATATTTGCTGGGCATGGTGTGATTGAGGCAGAGGAGAGTTCTTTATAGGGACAGGCCAGTCTCACACATGCACACTCTCTTCCAGTTATGGAGAGAGGAGGGGTAAAGTTAAATGAGAGAAACAGATGACAGAGTGAAAAGAATGTGTGGAAGGAGAAATAACTAGAGCGTCAAAGACAGAAAAAGTATGAAGCCAGGTGAACGAGAAGGTTGGAAAAAGTTTACTGATGGAATCAAAGCAAAGTCGCGCAGTTTGCATTCAGTGATCATCAAGTGTGTGTGAACCACTTCTAGTGGTCAGTTTTGGGAACCATCTCATATCATAGAACACTCAATAGATATTTGATCAATAAATTCAGCTGTTGTGTAACACACATTCACTGACTGCTACCCTTCCAAAACTCATCATTATGTATTGATGGCAATCAGAATGTCAACCATTACACAACACTGATAATTGATTAACAATTAATTTGTTCTCTATTAGTGTTACTTAACAAAGGAAGTTGAATTATATAAGATTTAGAGGTAGTCTTTGCCTCACATAGATGTTCTATAAAAGATAAAAAACAGCATCTGCCTCTCAATACTTTCTGACTTGCACAACCCTGTCTGTTACACTAAGCCGAAGCCCATTGGTTTCTACTGAAGATGTTAATCTTTACAAACCAGTCATGAATATATACTTATAGTTGGGCACTCAAACAGTAGTATATAATGCATTGGTTGGAGACTATTTTCAGCAGCAGATTTGGTGCTTTAGTAAGTATTTACAGCAGCGGGACTGAAAATAATCTACACTGCCTAACTTGGGCATTACAATGAACTTGGTCTGCTCAAGCTCATTGCAATGGAATAATGTGTTATGGTAATGATTAAGCAATGTGTAACCAGTGCAACCGTGTCACTCATTGATGTATTTTTAATAGTTATAAGTCTATGTCATAGAGGAATAAACTATACTTTGCATTCACAGACAATACTTGTCAGTTGGATCAATATATCGTTGGTTTATGAGTTTTCACAGGTTTTGTTGACAGTAAGGAAAATATTGCCTGAATTACCCTTTAACTTCAATCATTCACCAACTTTAAGCCAGACCATGGCCACCACCTCATTTCCTCTCTATCAGATATTTCTATCTGCCATCCTGCCTCTCTGCCATGTCTGTACGTACATGTACATGCTTCTGTTTGTGTATTGCTCTTTGTGTCTTACTGATGTAGGACCACTGAATCCATGGCTGAAGGTCAAACTCAGCAGCTCCCTTTTCAAGCATAGATTTTCTTTTATTGGTGGGTGTGAGCCTGCGCTACTATAGACCGGAAGCTATATAATGTTCTCTCAAGCTAACCCTGTCTCTCACATACATACAAACACATACACAAACAGAACTAGTAGTTTAGATAAAGTATAGTGCCATAATTGTTTGTTTTTTTTGATTAATTGATTAGTCATTAAGTGTATAAGGTGTAAAAATTGGGAAGCCTTCTCAATTACCCAGAAACTCCAGGTGACGCATTAAAATACATTGTTTTGTCCAACCAACTGTGCAAAAACCAAAGATTTTCAGTTTACAATTATACAAAACAGAGAACGTAGAAAATCCTCACATTTAAGAAGACATTTTTATGAAGCATTTTGTATCAGTTGACTAATTGGTTAATCCACTAATTGTTTTGGCACTACTGCAGTACTGTTTGGAGAGACCAAGAGAAACATGATCGAGGCACTAACACCAATAGTAGAAAGATAAAGACTTTTTTATTGATATTTTTATTTGTAGTCCTGATTTGTGGTGTGAATAATCTTCATTCAGACACACAAAAAGCACGTGTTTAAAATCTCTTTTTCTCTTCATCTGACCCTCTCTCTCTCTTGTAGACACACATACACACTCACACACACATAAACACATTAAACACACTGCAGTAATAAAGTTGATTTAATATGTATTAAGTGGGTTACCTCTGTCCTGCAGGCAATAATCAACAGTACCATCAGTCCCAACATGACGTTCACAAAGACCTCACAGAAGTTTGGCCAATGGGCGGACAGTCGAGCAAACACTGTCTACGGCCTGGGATTCTCCACTGAGCATCATCTAGCCAAGGTACCACCCCCATCCACACACACACACACACACACACACACACACACACACACACACACCTTCTCACCCAGTCCCTGAGAAAGGATGGCATTTCAACTTTCTTTTTACCATAGTTGCTATAGCTTCTCGTATAGTGTAGAATCTGGTTTTTCTATATATATAATATCTCTCATATTAAAGGCATAATGACGTGATCTTGTGACCTGAAGGTTATCCGATCAGGTGCTCTCTCATCCCTCAATTACTAATATCTTAAACTTATCATTTCCTCCTTAAACAATTTGTACACTTGTGTTTTATAAGAGTAAAATTCGGGAAAATGACCAGTAGTACAAAGATGGACACACTGGTGGGTACACCAGAGTTTAAAGGTGCACTCTTAACTGTTTTACATACTGATTTAGTTTAGTTTATTACTATTGAGAAGTACTTTATAATGTCTTCTGTGACTCTGGAGGGAGCAATCTAAAGTCTGAAAAAGTAATCCTTATGATAATACTAAATTGCTGGAGTACTCCTGCAAGAATAAACACAGCGCTCAATCACCAACTATGACTGTAAGGCAGTAAGACAGTAATACAGTTACTACAGAACAGTATGTACACTCTTCCCAGGGTAATAAATAAGAAACTAATAATGCACAATAATTGACTTTAGTCCATTATTTTCCTATTTTAAGAGTACAATGATTGTTTAGTGTCACTGACTTGTCTTGTTGTGATCTTGTAATATATAATTTGTTCTCAGGTTTCAAAAAATACCTTAATGATACTTTATAAATAAATAAAGCTCACAGTAACAAATAAAGGTAAATTGTATTTAAAATTCAGTTCATTGCCAAGCTTATATTATTGTCACAAATCAGAGAGAACAAAACAATAAAGTAAAAACATTTTTTAATAAAAAAAACAAAACTTCTTCCACTTTCCCAACTTCTTGGCTAATGTAGAGCTTCTTTTGTTTAACTTATTTACATTGTCTGGAGCGTATCAATATGCAGTTTTAACCGGCCAATTAAAAGTATTTTCTGTGGTTTAAAGTTGAAATAATCAGATTCACTTCTCAGATAACTGCAGTGCCAACTCTTCTGAAGCACTTACACTGAGAACTACTGCATTTAGATGACTGTACCAGAACTATAATATTGCACTGAAGTGAAATGATATTGAGTTACTTGTTGCAACTCCACTAATGGCAGACACAAGACCGGCTCCAGCAGAGTTGTCAATTTGATTTCCTCACCACTCAATCCTCTGCAGTACTGTATCTACGAAATTACTCTGTAACACTGTGGGAGTAGTGTCGGTGATGAACCACACCCTAAAGGGACATTGGGGAGATGTGCTTGTGTGTAAGTGCCAGAGTGTTTATATTTGCTCAAAGCCCCTCAGCTGAGCTCACCTTACTGCTTTAGGCTCGCTGGATGTATCTTTGCTCTTGACTAAAATAACCCCAGAGATCATCTTCAGCCACTGACAACTTCTGATTAAAGGCAAAAACTCAATGGGGAAAACACAATAACACAGTCTGCTTCACCGTATACGTGTGTGTGTGTGTGTGTGTGTGTGTGTGTGTGTGTGTGTGTGTTTGTATGTGCATATGTGTATGTATGTGATAGACAGGTTACTACAGTGACCTAGTTAGCTCATGTTTCTGCTGAGGTATTATGGGTAAGGGCCTTCTTGTCTAAGTTCAACTGTCGTTATTGGCAACAGCTTCTCCCTGTCCTTTCCCTGGCTTCACAGCTGACCTATTATACACTGATCTCTGTGTGTGTGTGTGTGTGTGTGTGTGTGTGTGTGTCTGTGTGTGTGTCTGTGTGTGTGTCCATGCACATATGGCTTTACTGAACAGATTAAATCATATTATTGTATGAATTTCAGTCCATACTGATGGCTGTCCTCTGTGTCCAGTTCGCAGAGAAGTTTGCAGAGTATAAAGAAGCAGCACGGCTTGCTAAAGAGAAGAGTCAAGAAAAGATGGAGATGGCCACGTCTCCCTCTCAGGTACGTTCAGGCTACGCTTTCCTAACTCCACCTATTCTGTGATTTTTTCCCTCTGGTGTTATTTAGTGTGATTTATTATCACAGGAGACGTAAAGACAAAGAAAATAAGAAAGAATTTGATAGAAAATAAAAAAGAGTCCTACTTAAGTATAAGTACAGTATTGTCAGCAAAATGTGCTTAAAGTATCGAAAGTAAAAGTGGAGATAATATGCCTCATTATTGCATTATTAGGTTGTAGTAGCGTTTTATTTTTACTAGTTTTAACATTATATACAGTTGGTTTAGTCCAGTTGCTCCCAACCGAGTGGTTGGACCCCTCCAAAGGGTCACAAGATAAATCTGAGGGGTTAGGAAATGATTAATGCGGGAGCAAAGAACACAGAAGACTAAGCTTTACTTCACAAGTGTGTGTTCATTCTTTTGATTTTTTTTCTTTTTAATCTTAGCATTTTTTTGTGAAATAATAGAATTTTATTGCTTTGACCATGAACAGTTATTTGAATAAAATGGTAACAACTGGAACATGAAAAGAGGTTCCAACCAGAAATGGCTTTTTGTGAGGGTTCAAAAGCCAAAAAGGTCAATCTTTTAATTAAATTGTATTTAAGTTATTCATATGTTTCTCTATATAAACTCAGTAATTATATCTGTCAAATAAATTTGTGGAGTAAAAAGTACATTATTTTCTTCTGAAATGTATCATAATTCTAACTATAAATGTAGCATTATAAATGCAAATAGAGAAGTACAAGTACCTCAAAATTGTACTTAAGTGCAGTAGCGTTCCACTACTGCATGCTCCTGGGAGATCCTGACACTGAGGTTAAGAATTACAGTCCTTACATATTATACACCACACAATATGGTTCATTTTCACTGTATGTATCTAGCCTATACATTAAAAGAAAAAGACAAATCTGTCTGTGGATTCACCATAAATTAAAGAACATAATTAGTTTGTATGTTTGCTATTTGTTTGTGTGGGATATCTAGTGTTTTAGGGCATGTGTAACTGCGTCTGAGAGAAAATTAGCTTGTTTCGGAGGAAAATCCCCAGAGAAATCTGTTCTTTAATCTAAAGGCTGTTAACAGGCTTCATGTCCTCGTCTGTTCATTATGAAGGCTAGGGGAGCAGCCCCCTGCTGTACTGCGGTCTATTACTTGTACTATTAATGCTGCGGCCCGCATGGGCTGAAATGCTACAGTACATTGTGCTTCCCATGGGAGGATGTTTTTTAATGAAGCCAAGTGGACAGCTTCGCTCTCATCAGGGGTTGAAGGCTATATGTGCATTGGCCACCACCACACAATAGTGGTGGAAGTGGAGCGATTGCTTTAACGGTAAAGGCTGCAGCATTCCTGCTATAAGACTGCAGTTGTCTGCTGAAGCTGTCTGCTCTGTTTCACTACTGATTGTCACTGTTTCACACACATGCCTGCTGGCTTTTTTTTCCTAACCTTCAGATCTCTATTCTCTCCTCTGAATAAACTGGAAAACATGAGAGAGGATTTATTCCATTATAACAAAATTAGATAACACAGAGCTAAATGCTATATGCTGGTCCCAATAGGCCAGACCCCAGTGGAAGTGCACCATGATACATGGTATACTAATGAATGTGGAGCGCAAAATGTAATGCCAGCCCTAATCTTCCTCTTATCTCTCACTTCCTTCTTGTCCATTAGAGACATACAGGCAGTGTCATTGTGCTACTGTATTGTGCCCAAGCCCTGAGTCTTAATAGCTTTGTTTTATGTACGTGCAGCAGCTAAATGATTTGTCTCTCGTATAATTCTGTGGTTTTATGGGATATAAAGATAAGCATTAATCTGTAGTTCTGCAATTTCCCAGTGCCATAGTAAGCTATTTATTGGCCTATAGGCATGTGGAACTGCTCACTAAGATGCTCATATTTTTAGCACCCCAGCAAGAGCTTTATGAGAGTAAGAGACAGCATCTCCCCCACCCCTAAAAACACATAAACACACCTCAATTATTTCTCATGTCAACTCCGTATAGGGGAAGAATGATGCAAATGAATGTATGAGTTTGTTTTTATCTGGTAAGAAGAGGTCATTGAGATCACTCAAGTTAATTATCTTATATTTAATAATATTAATATTATAAAATGATTTTTTTGATTAAACAATTAGTCAATTGACAGAAAATTAATTGAAAGCAATTTTGATAATAATTGAATTACTTTCATTGCGTTTCTCAGTTTTGTAATCATTGCAGATTAATTGTCTCTGAGTTTTGGACTATTGATCTGACAAAACAAGAATTTTAAGACGTCACCTTGGGCTCTGGTGCTGAAATGTTATTGGGTAAACAATTAATTGATTAATTGTAAAAAATTAAAAAGTTAAAAATAAAAGAAATTCAGTGATGAAAAGTTGCCCCAAAGGGGTGCTCTTATTTTTCCTTTTCACTTGAGCCACAATGTCTATCTTTGCATATGCTAAATACTACCCAGTAATCTAAACAAATCACTGTTTCTACTTTTGGTAATGTTAAACGCACCATTTCCTCTACGCCTAAGGCTGTGTCTCTGGCAACTAGAAAAGCAACTAGGAACCATTAGTGTAAGAACTAAAAGTGTAGCAGATGTAAAAGCTTTTGTGAACTCACTATAGGTTAAATCATTACTATTTTAACATAATATATAATAATATATTTTATTGACATTAGGGAGTATCATACAGATATTTATAAGGAAATGTCAGGGAATGTTGTTGAGCTTGATATGATATCACAATTTTTTCATGCCTTATAATCATGACTAATTGTGCGAATAATAATAAAATGATTAACATATAGTTTGGTTAAATATATATTTGACTGATTATTTGATGTCTAACCAGTAGTACATGTTTCACATGTAGGAGTCTCCAGGAGGTGAGCTCTCATCACCATTGACCCCTGTGACTCCGCCCATGGAAAACATCAACGGCACAGATGAAATCTGTGACACGACTCCCAATTCAGACACCCTTCCAGGGCCGGCACAGAACGCACTGGCCTTCGCACACAGGTAAATCCCACACTGTGATGTGTTCATTGTCCCGTGTTGTCATGTTTACCACAGTACAGATGTACAGTGACAGTACATCCTGACCATTTACACTGTCACCGTCACATTTCACATAGATTACACACTACAATACTAAAATATATGGTTTATTATGATTTTTTTCTATGTTTTTATGAGGCACAGAAGTACATACCTCTCTCCTTCTATGTCTTTCTTCTCGTCTGCGTGCACCTATATATGTTACATGTCAGCATGGGAGTGAATTCCCTCTATTCACTGCTGCTCTCTCGTGTTTTTCCTCTCTAGGGAGCAGTTTAAGACTTGTCGGGTCTGCTCTTTCTGATAGGGATGTCATTACAAGTCCAGACTACTGCGACATCATAACTACGCAAAAAACAAATGTTCAGGCACAAACTTTTCAAAAATAAGAGCCTGATTGCAGGTCAGCAACAGGGAGGGTCTTCTTTACAATAATGCACTGCCTGTTTACTAACTGCTAATGAATAAGGTAACAACAGCGTGCCATCACTCCAGTCAGAAGGAACACGGGCGAATTATCAGTGACATCTTACTCACACACACGGACCAGCAAAATATGTTACTTTAAGTGTTTCTCAGGAATGAGGAATTATACACGTGATTATTTTGTCTAATCTAAGCATGCTTTGTAAGGAAACTCACATATATTTATAGTTTTATGTTTGCCTACTGCAATGCAATAATATCTCTATGCATGCACCACTACTGTTGTATACATTCCTGTTGTCTTAGTGTCCTGTTAGCAGACTGAATATTGAAATGGGTAATTCACATTCCTTGTGATTGTGAGATATACAGTATATTGTGTAAGATAAAGACGTCAAAGTGCCATGTAAATATGTTTGATTTGTATAATGGCTTTCTGAAGAGGTGTGGCTGTGAGGTTCATCACCAAAAAGGTGTTGATGAAGCGTTTATGTAAGACTTATATAACATACTGTGGGTAGTGGGAGGCAGAGAAAGAGCAAGACAGACAGAGAGAGAGAGAGAGAGATTGTGCGTGTGTGTGTCAGAAACTGGGAAGAGAGAACGATAGAGAGGTGCACTGTATAAAATCTGTACATGAGTCACCGCTACCTAAACAGCCACCAAGTGCACACACACTCACTACAATAAATAAACTGAACAGGAGGTCATGGATAATCAGTTTGAGTCATTTGAGTGAGTGAAGTGAGGAAATGTTCCTATTATCTACTGTCACCTGTAGTGAACTGTACACACAGGTCTTTTCATTTGTAAAATCTCTGTAATCTTGTGATACTCATTTCATTATTTCTCTGGCTGCGATTCTTATTAATTAAAGATATCAATCAATCGCATAATGTATTATCATTCTTTTTTGCTTAACTATGGGTGTCTTAGAGGAGACTTAAAATACTTTTTGATTTTTGAAGATCATTGTAGAGGTCTTTATAGATAGAGGTATTTTCATTAGGGTGTTAAAGTCTGTAAAGCTGTGACAAGCTCAAGTGCAAATGCTTAGAAATCCCTACCGCTACATCATGAACTCTGTAAGGCTACACAGATCTGAGTGTGCAGAGAGAGCGGGATGTAGAGAGGACACCCACTGCCTGCTGCAGCATTGCTGCTGATGTGTCTATTAATGCTGCATGCGTGGGAGACGGGGTCGACTCTCAGCATTCGCAATGGCAAGCATGGACGTAACAAGCAAAACCACATTTTCTCAGAGGCATATGCAGAGAGGGTAGATGATAGCACCATCCAGATATTTTATCAAATAACCCTCTCTTTTTCTATCTTTTCTCTCTATAATTCTTACTTCCTAAATTTAATATCTACTGTGCATCATCTCACGTTACCTTTTACAGTAGCTCTATCCGCCTCCCATGTGCCTCAAACTGCAGTCAAAATGTATTTTCTGGCAATTTGTGTAATGTTGTATAAGCCTGTAGTTGATTTAATAGCACAAAGAAAAGAATAAAATGTTTTTGTGTTTTGAATGTGTTTACTTGTATATTACTTCATGAGAGTTCAGACCTACATATAGAAACAGAACTGCATACGCAAGTGTGTGCATTCTTTTTGCAGCAGATCTCTAGGATTGTCTTGGTTTGTCTCCCTGCCATGTGTCTGGAATTAGATGATGATAACATATACACCACACTGCTGCTTAGCGGGGCTGTGTAGGCAGGTATGTGTGGGTGCAGGGGGCAGAAGAAGAGAGAGGAGGATGAGATACAGGTGTATGCAGGGCTGTGAGAGGTTTTTTTATATTGCAGGATGTAGGCAGGTTTGGCAGGTCTGCAGTGGAGTCGTTTTTGAATGGTTTTATGAATATTGGAAGACCTTTTGTTGGGACTGCCTTGGCTGCATGTGAATGGTCTTCTAGTGTTGGAGGATGTAGGCGTCTGTCGGTGGGCTTGTGGTAGGCTCGTGTGAACGGAGACAGTGCCGAAGTCATACGTCAGGGTGCCATGAGCGCTCCTCAAGTGCTGCCATGGCAACTGCTCTGGCTCCCTGCTTCTTGAAGTGCTCCATGCGGAGGAAGAACCTACCTGACAAGCACAGTGGTCAGGACACAGCAGAAACACAAGAGGGCTGTAGAAAACCTTCAGTGTTATGCAAGTTTATGTTTTGTGTTTGGTAGCTTTATTGAGCATGGGAGGAGCAATATACTTAACATTTTGAAGTAGTAAAACACAAAATAGAGTGTTAATTTTTTATTCAGGAGTCATGGTATATTGGCAGTGTGTACAGAATATGTCCAAACCAGAAAAAAAAACATTCAAAATTAAATCCAGACAACAAACAAGAAATTTATTTTATATTAATTAAAAGAAAAAATGCAATAAAGAATCAACCTGATACTCCACAAAAACTGGTCCTGTGCTCTCTTGTCATGAGATATTTTTAGTTTTTTAGAATATTGTTCATGTGAAACAAATAAAAACAGATAAACTCTGTAACACTAATTCCAATCTTCTGTATCAGATTAGAAAAACAGTTTTAAACTGATACAAAGACAGTTGCTTCTTCAATTCAGCATCACACAACTGGCTCTTGCATGACTAGCAGTGGAATTACAACAAAATTACATAATGATCAGCAGCTAAAAATATCAATAGCTAATAAAATCCTCATGACAAGACATTCATATTGTGTACATAATTACAACATCTTTTCAATCAGCAGCTCAGTGACACAGCAGCAACTAACTTACCCTCCATGTGTCTCAAACACCTTCAGCTCTGCTCTGCTGTCTTCAGCCAGAATTGTGCTCAGGTGCCCTCCTGAAACCTTTCAGCCAGACTCATTTAATGAAGACGAACACCAGTGTCAAAACATCTTGCACTCTGTATTATCCTCTAATTCTCACTCCATCGCTCTCCCATGCTTTCTCCGACTGTCTCCATCTTCACATCTTAGCGTCTCGCTTGCTCTCCTGCTCTCCGAGCTGGTGTGTGGGGTTTATACATTGGCGGGGCTGCGTGCCTTGGTGACAGCATCGCTCCATGTGTGTATGTGTGTATGAGTGGTTGTGTGTCAGTTGATATGTGCAAGTGTAGGATGAAGTGTCGTCTCCCTCCTATGCGTCACACATGCAGACACACTTGCACTCACAGAGGGGGTGGCTGTTGTGTAAGAACTGAAGGCGCCGTGGGAGTCCAGAGTGAATTAGATCTGGGCTTTCTCTCTTTTACACTTCACAGAGTGGGTGTTATGGCATAGTGGAGTACTGCTGCAGTGTGTGAGCATTATATATGTGTGTATGTGTCAGTGAGGGGGTGGAACAAACCCGAAAACAACATTGTTATGGGTCATACACAGACCCTGATCACTTCTTGAGTGAGCTAAGCTTCCTTTTGTGTTTTTCTGTGTATGTGTTTCCACCGCTTTGAGGAATTACTGTGAAGTATGTGGGAGTAGGAGCACCTTTTCAAAGGAACTTGACTCGATTTCGGTACTCGACAACGTTTAGGTCTCTCATACAGTCTCCCGCCCAAGTCAGACATTATGTGAAAAACAGGGAGCGAGCATTATGTAAATCTTAAATGAATGCCTGCAGTGCTCATATCTAACAAGGGAGAATCACAGCAGAAGCATTTTCCCTCCAGAAAATTTAGTTTATACATATATCTTATATTACACTTCAACTCTGAACTATCGACTACCCAGCTCATATTCAAGTTTTTTTTTCTCCTACACAGGCCTCTCCATCATGAAATTCAATCACATTCAATCACTTCTCCCTTATCTCTCATCTCATCTTCTCATCTGTGAGTAGCTGGACCAGATTAGGCTCCAGCCAGTCTGAGGATATAATCTCAGATTACAACTCATGTGGCAGACAGCTGCTTTCACAGCTACTGGCCAGGAAGGGCCGACCTCCAACTTGAGTGCCCACTGCAGTCTTTGTCAGATTTCAGTGCTACAGCGAGATGGATGCATGCATGCATGAATTACTGACTGATCCCACTGAGCACAGGCCTAGGGCATCAAGGGGTCATGAGGCCCTGGACTTTACCTGCAAAATGTCAATCAAAGACATAAATATGCTCAAAATGACAACAAAGAAACTCAAAATGACCCTAAAGAGACTTAAAATGACTAGAAAGACACTCTTTCAGTCCTCAAAATCTCTTGCTCCTAAGTAGGAAAGGCAGGGGGCCTTGGGTGGATGGATAGATAGATAGATTATACATTTATGGATGGAAGGATAAATGGATGGCTGCTCACAAACAATAATGGTTCCTTCACACTCACAACTTTTTTTTTTCAAATTTCATGAGTTTTCAGATAAACACAGCTTACATCTACAACATGAAAACATGAGCACTTATCATCTTATATTACTGTTGTGGTCATTTGACATGTATATGTATATGTATGTCTCTGTGTTCTGCAGCCCCGCCATGACAAAACACTGGGAGGCTGAGCTGGAGGCACTAAAGGGGAACAATGCCAAGCTAACGGCAGCTCTGCTGGAGTCCACAGCCAATGTCAAACAGTGGAAACAACAACTAGCTGCCTACCAGGAGGAGGCAGAGAGACTACACAAACGGGTGAGGGATGGGACACAAATGCTTGCTTGTTTTTTATGTGTGATTAATTCCTTCAAATCAAATAGAAGTGATCATTTGGAACGGATGGTGTGAAGTCAAGATGAGAGGACGGGAGAAAAAAATAGAGAGGAGACATGAGTTTTGGCATGAGGGAGAGTAAAGAAGTGGTAGTCTGGAAATGAAAGCTACCTCGAGATCAGGAATCTGATGTATCAATCTCTCTCCTTTTGATCTCCATATTGTCCTTTTAGGTGACGGAGCTCGAGTGCCAGAGCAATCAAACCCCAGTGATCAAATCACAGAAGACTGAACTCAACCAAACCATAGAGGAACTGGAAAATACACTAAGGGATAAAGAAGAGGTGTGTGCATGTGTGATAGGGTGGAGTGCCCTGCTTGAAATGTAATGGCTCATGCAACAACACCCTACATTCATGCTACACAGCCTTTTAATCTGTTTTTATGTCCTCCAGGAAATGGAAAAGTTGAAAGAGGAATTGGAAAACATGAATGACCTGATGGAGCAGAAAGACACCCTTACCCAGAAACTTGAGGTGAGTGATACAAGATATTAAACATAACTGTTCCCCAAAGTATCAGTGCGTCTTTGCACTTTGTCATTTCGTACTTCCTAATGACACAAACCTGCCAACAATGCTGTCTCTCTTCCTCCAGGAGACGGAGCTGCGCAGTCGTGTGCTGGAGGAGCAGCTGGCGGGTGCTGAGCAACGGCTGGAAGAAAACCAAGAGGAGCAGGAGAATTTCAGGAAGAGCCTGCGGACGCTGCTGGAGCTGCTGGACGGCAAGATCTTTGAGCTGACGGAGCTCAGAGACACCTTGGCTCGGCTCATAGAGGAGGCCAGCTAGAGACGGGGCTGCCTAATCTTTACAGACAGAGCCATATGATAATTTACACCCTCACAACCCCCAACTCACCCACACCAATCCTACCCACCATGCCCTCCTTCCTCCTACACCTCACGCACATTAAATCTGAGACACTACACTGCCCTGATTCTGATTTTGCTCAAAAAGGGCAGCTAACTCCCCATTTTTACCTTGCAGGCATCAAGCTACAACCAACCGCAGGCACTCCTGTAGTTCAAAACAACACAGGGACTACCTCATCTTGCCTTCTGATTGGCTGGTGTAGGCGTAACCTTGGTTGAATTGATCTCCAGTCGTAGAGATGCCTGTCATGGCACATTGCAACTGCCCCCCAAAACCCACCCACCCACACACTCACAAAGAGTTAACTTGAGAACTGTGCCTCAGTGCCATCTGCTGTTTGACTGGGAGAGCTGCAGTACAGCTTGCAGCATCACAACATCACACACACACACCCCTTTTCTTCCTCTCTAAACTGCCCCCGCCCCCGCCCCCAAGGGGAATGTTGAAAGTCATGTGGAAATAATTGCTGTTAAGACTCAGAGAACTGCGCCAAAGCTGCCAAATCCCCCCAAAATATTGTCCTCTAACTAGCAGATGCTTTGATCCAAAGTGACTTACTGTACAGAGAAGTGCTGAACAGAGAAACAGAGTTCCACGTTTGAGCTCGGGCTGCCAGCGGAGTGTCACTGGAAACAGAGAATTAAAGGACGGCTCTCAACAAAACAGTCAGTCTCACCTATTGGCCTGTGGTTACATCAAAGCTGCTCCCTGGATACACAGGACTGCTGGGAAATGAAGTTATGTTTAATTCTCCAGCGTAAATGAATGACTGCTATATATCCACAGCCTATTTAAAATCCTACATGATAGATGAGTATTGAATCTTCCAGAGGCATTCTTCATGCCACCCAGAAATTTTAGAGGGCATGTGCCCGTGTTAGATTTGACATGAAAAGTCCTGTATCCAGACTGCTTCCACCGTCACAGACAACTGACCTGTCTTCCTGCCAAACTCAGTGTGGTGTGTGTTCCCGAACAAGGCCTGATCTATGACAAAGCGTGTGCCTTCAAAGCACATATACGTGGACACATGTTTGTATATAATATGTGTGTGTGTTTTGTGCTGTGAGAGAAAGACCCTGTTTTGGGACATCAAGGCCCCCCCACACACACAGACACACACACACTGAGCAATACCAGACAGGCTCTATATGACACCTCTATCTAACTCTATCAGGTACTCTACTCAGTGGACTCATGCAGATAGGTCAAATGCAACTCAGCTGATCCCCCCTGTCCGACAGAAAGTGTACTACTGTTGACCGCGAACCTGTGTGGCAGCCCTGTCTGGACGAAGTAGTGCATCATGAAGGGCTTATAGAGTGTCATCTACGTGTCCGTAAATCTCCACCCTCAGTGAAGCTGGCCACAGATTTTCACTCCCCACGAGTGAATACAGAACTGTACTCAGTTTCTATTCTTTTTTACACAAGATATAACACTGATGATATAATAATAGAACTGTATAAGACAACTTTCTACTCATGACGACATTGTAAATGAATGGATGGATAACTTAAAAGCAGTAACACCCTGCGGTGGCTTATTGTTGTGTATTAACCCATGAAAAAGTATTGCATAGTTATTATTGAGTATCTAGTCTGTAGGTAAACAATGAAAACCTCTTCAATATATATTTAAAATTTGTAACGACACAATGTAAACACATAGTTTCAAACGTTCTTTACCAAAACATGCACTTATAAAGCAGCTCCTGTACTGGTAAAAATCTATAACTGCATCTTAAAATCTGTTCATTTAAAATCACTGAATTTCTAAAAAGCTATATCCTCTCATGAAAGGCTGCTTATTTTACCTTTCAATTGAGCACCCTGTTTGCACTGTGTTATTACACTTTTGTAATTACATTATATATCAAGAGATTTGCATTAAAAGCTAGCACAGCATAATTCTGTACTTAAAATATTGTAGTTAGCTACACTGGTTAATACACTGGAATAAGACTCATGTAAAGGGTAAAGTTACCGTTTTTGTCTGGTTTAACTTTGACAGTCGAATGACAGAGATGGAATACCTTGATATTAATGCTATTGTTAATGAATGCCTTTGTACAGTAGTGGATAAGAAGCTTTTCATTCTCCTGTTTTGTAACTTATGGTATTTAAATGTAGGTATTATTATTGTATTTAGAGGTATGAGAAGACTGGCAATATTTTTGACTATTTAAAGTAATTTTGAACTCATGATATTAAAGAGGTACCTCAGGCTAATGATGTTCGTAGATTGGTGAGACTTGTGTGTTTGCAGGTGAAAGGATTTACCAAATGCTGGTGAAAAACGATCAGGAGATACACCTGTTGGTGCTTCAGCCAAACTAAATCCTTTGTTGAATTCAAACAAAGACAGCCCTACCAGGCTGTGAACACACCTCTGTGAACTGAGAAATGCTATGTTTTATATTCAAATACAGTGACCACAGAATTCAGTGTGTACAGATTGCTTTTTCTTCTCTTTCGTTAAAAAAACAACACAATTTTAACTCAATTATTCAACAGTGAAACAGACAAACTCAGAATTTGCTTCACAAGGTTTTATTCAAATGCAGGGGTGAAGTTGTAAATAAAAAAAAGGTTAATGAAAATGCTAGGACTGAAGGCAAAAGGGTATTCTTTGAACAGTGCAAAAACATCTGCAACATTTAATAAGTCTGTTTTAGGCAATTAATCTGAACTCATTAACTTTTTTCATCTCTTTTTTTGTATTTCCCTATATTGATATTGCACTTCTTAAGTGATTGACTGGAATATTCAGACAGCGGGTCATATAGTCAGCCTGTGTGGATAACAGGTCTACATAGGAAATGTTCAGAAGCAAACACATCACAAAACAATTTGGCTGGAAAGGCTTTGGAAAAAACTGGATACAAATGAAGCAATGAAATGCAATAGAAAATCATAGTTAGCTGACAAACAAACAGAGTTAAAGTTATTTATAGATCAATGTAAAACACATGACAGTGTGTTTCTAAGGTCAGGTCAGGTGATAGATAGATGATTCATGGCGAAGGTGCCACATTCTGAGCCCAGTTTCCCAAAAGTTTTAAGCACATTGATGGCCATTGTAACATCTTTTGGGAAACTCTGCCCTGGTCTGTTATAGAGACATCAAGTCAGGTACTGTCTGGGTAAGGTCTAAGTTAAGAGTCAGGTCAGGGTTAGATCTCTGTCTCATGCTACATGATGAGAGTACCATGGAAGAACATTGTGCTGACCATGACAGAAGACATGTAAAAGTGCCTCAGTTTTGCTCTGCCAGGAAAATAATAAACTTTCTTTAGCACTGAGCTATTTTCAAGCTGTATAATGTAACATACAGTATACTTCCATGGTGGTTCTTTCTACATTAGTGTCTGCTTCATGATTAATCCACAAATGGCTCTCAATACAAGAACAAGAAGAAAAGCACAAATCTTTGCATCAAAGCTGTTTAAGACAGTGCATGCCGAGGTTGCTCCAGATTTAGAGCTTAGTTTATGAATCCACGTCTTTTTGTTTCATGTTAACATGTATGCTTGCGTGAATTCCTGTGCTGCTAAGCATCCCACTGGTCCTCTCATACTGTCCTTCAAATCACACTTCTGTAGGTCCAATTCCACATGTTGTTCAGTGCTTTTATACTTATCCATCTCCAGATAAAACGTTTCACCAGTGATTAAAAAAACAAAGTTACTGTAGAGATAAAGTGATTCAGAATGTACAATGTCTCATGAAAGTGCTGACACAATTTCCAAAAAAGAAAAAGACTTATGAGTAGATGCTGTGGACTCTCTTTGCCACTAAAATGTTTCTGCACATGTCGGCTGCACAAGTCCATGTGTGCATGAGCATGTTTTAACTTCCAACACTGTGAGTAACAGACCTCCTACTGTGTGTGTCTGCCCACTGAGTGCAGAGAAAGAAATTAGAAAAGATGTAATAGAGGAGAGGAGAGAAAGTGAATAAGATGGCAGGAGAAACCACATCAATCATGACAGCCTTCTCCACAGCCCACAGTGACTCCCTACAGTGCCGAGAGAATCTAGCCTCCCACAAACCATCCATCATGCAAACAAGCGTGACCGGTTTCACAGCTCTGCTGTGACTATCCCACATACGAAGTTCGGGAATCACCAACCAAGTCTGCCCACACGTTACAAAGAGTACTGACACTAAACATGACCTCCACCTCGCACAAGAAACTTTGAAGCTCTTCCCGTGACCCTTCAGCTAATCCTCTCCTACTCTAGGTGACCAGGTTCTGCTAGGAGATATTGTTGAGATGTGGCTCCAAATGATAAACCTATTGTGACTCTTTATATCTCCCACAAGCCTGGCCATATGCTGCAGTCGAACAGATGGGTCGATACATATTCCCTCACCCAGAGAGGGGGTGAGAGTTGGAGGGTAGTGAGGGCCGGAAGAGGACAAGAGTGGGGGAGGGGCGCAGATCTGGTGTGACAGGCTAAAGGATTTACAGTATTTGTACAGTGTCAGATCAGACAAGCAGTGGTCCTCATACTGTCTGACACACACCCACATGTGACAGAACAAAACCAGCTGTGCAGCATGGCGTGGCTCAGTCATAGTACACTGGTTGCGTAAAAATAGACAAGAGTGTCAGCAGAGGTGATGTTTGATGGTGAATCTCAGTGGGATCTATTATTTGTTTTTCAATCTCCCACATGATCCCAAATGATCAACCATACACATTACATATTCTTGTTACAGTTTCTAATTTCTCATGCTTTGGAAAAAAAAGTGGAAAAAAGCACTAATAGCTTTCCGTATCAGTACAGTGTGTTGGTGTAAATTGTGTTACATGCTGTTTCTGAATGTTAATATAGCCACAAAAGGCCAGTGCAGAGCTTTTCAATGGTACAACTGAAAAACATTAAAAAACAAACATGGCATCATTACAATCTGATAACAGTACAGGAATAAAATCACAGTTACGTAAAGAAGAAATAAAAACACAAATAATGTCCTTCATGACAGTGAATGTAGTGTGAAAACCAAATTGACAGATTGACCATAGACCTCTGGAGCATTTGGTGAGTTGGTGATATTCGGTATGATTCAGGCCCTGGCATAGTCACTAGGTACATTTGTGACTGGGCTGTGTGTGCTTGAGTGTGAATGAATGAGTAACTATGTTGTACATGTTGGTGCATGTGTGTGTACAGTACAGCGCAGCACCTTACAGTGCAGTACAGTACAGTGTGTGCAGTGCCAGAGGGTGCAGGCATCTGTGTGTGTATTATTTGTTGCGTCTGAGTCTTGAATCCTAGCTGTCCCAGTCAGGGCCGGCCAGCCCATCGTCATCTGAGTCAGACTCTGGTGAGGCCTCCTTGATACGGCGCAGTGCCTCATGGATGCTTCTGGTCAGGGGGTCGGTGGAGGCCGGGAGCTCTCCCTGGTCCTTTCTTTCTTTCCTGGGGACACGCCTCAGTTTAACCCCCTTGCGAATTTGAACCAAGATGCTGTTGGGGTCATCGTCACCCTTGGCAGGAGGCAGGGACCGCTGGTCGACCTTCCTCAGGTGGAAGCTGCCTCTCTTCAGGGAGGCTAGCACCTCATCCATGGGTGAACTCTCTGCATACAGGAAGAGAAGAGGAAAACAGACAGTGATTGGCTACTGTATTTGGGTAATCTAATAGAACCTACTATGGAACTTAAAAGTTTCAGTACCTCTCCTGCTGTGGGAGTCAAACTCTGGAATCTTCCTCAGCTTTTTCCGGGCGCTCACCAGTTGGCTACTGTCAAAGAAGCGAGGGATAAATGGGCCGAGTGGGGAGAGGGAGAGCTCTTCTCCTGCACTCTTCCCCTCAACCTTTTGCCCATGCCGACCCGGGCTCCCAGAAGGTGACAACTCCTCCTTTGTTGGCAAGGGGGTGGGTGGGGGAGGTGGAGGAGGAGGTGAGATGGGGGATGCCAGTAGTGAGGACAGGGAGCACGGAGAGCAGGTGGAGTCTGCAGGACTGGGCACAGGCAGCGGAGGAAGGGATGCTGTGAGGGCCGTGACTGGCTGAGTGGTGAGCGTGGAGCTGGGACTGGGGTCCGTTTGTACACTGGTACTGAGACACAGCGGCTGCCCCTGCGTCTGGACACAGACTGTATCCACACGCTCCTCCCTCTCACTCACGCTACTCATTTCCATGCTCCTTCCACGGTCTCGTCTTCTACTGTGGGACACACGTAGTCGAGTAGACTTCAGAATTACCTGACCTGGGTACCGCTAGAAAAAGACACAGAGCGATACAGAAGTCAGTCAGTAAGAAAAAAATTTAATTTGGTGAGACCTTTATGGCATTCAAATATATACACATAAGAAGGAAATACATACTTGCTTGAAAGTGCGTAATCTGTCCAGAGTTCTCTGTCTCTCCTGACTAACTCTGCTGTTCTTCCTTTCCTCGTCTTCTTCTTCTTTATTTTTCAGCTGACAAAGTTACTTAAAGAGTTACTGACAGTGCTTTACAGGTAAACAGTCACATCATTATTAAAAACCTTATACCTGTAAGATCTGGTGGGATATAGAGTCCTTGTGGAGGGTTTGACGTTTCTGCTGATTTTGAGTGTGGTTGGATACACAGATCTCCTGCAGGAAGAGGAGAGATTGGTCAGTGTCATATACCATATATAAATATATGTATGTCAGAACCATTTATGTGCCTTTATAATTTTGTTGTAGTTCCTGGACATTTATGATAACAGGTCATTACATCTTATAAATTGATATCACAAGTGATTAATTTATATTTCTACTTCTTGTGTAATCTCAAAGCGAAATCTAATATTCAAATATATCAAATATAACTACAGCGTATATAAAATAAAAATGAAATTATTTATACATAATAAAAACAGGACACTGTTTCAATCAAACAAAAATACACAGTGCAGGATACGCTTCAGTGTGAATGTGGGCGAGGTGTACGCACCCTCTTGTTTCTCAGATAGGAGCGCTTGGCAGTGATGCGCCCCCTTCTTGCCTCCAGCTGTCGAGCGCTGACCTGGAGTCTGTGAAGCTCTTCCCTCTCTGCAGTGTCATCCTCTGTAATATCATCTGCACTTTCAAAGGTGTCATAGTAGACCACCTCATCCTGACGCTCTAAAAACACGTGTACAAAAAAAGACTTTTGCGGACACAGGTACAGATCTTTCAATTCACTACACACCAGTAATGTAATGAGTAATAATTCAGACTATTTACTAGCTCATGCACAGCAAAC